CAATAAACCCCATTTTTGACGAGCTTTCATTTGATATAAAATTTATTAGGTCTTCTATTTGTAATTACAGGCGGTACTCTCCTGGCAAAATATTAGTTCCCACCTAGTACAAATTTAATAAAAGGCTCCAGAAGACGTTGCATTCTGATATGCTCTTTCCAACAAAAATAAATAAATATATAAAATAAACGGCAGGAGGGAATTTGGGCAACCCAATAACCTATTTTCGACCCTTATTTGATGCAAATCTCCCGAAAACCTCATAGAGTGTGGGTATGGTGTATGGGTGTTGGTAGGAGTGCCAGAATACCAAAGCCCGGCCACCTCCCTCCTATACTGACACCACACCCTCAAACCGTCCATATCCCACACACTCACAATAAAAAATTTAAAATAAATTCAAATTTTCATATAAGAAAAATCCAAAATTTTAAGTTGATCTTGGCAAGATTTAAATTTACTTTAAACTTAAATTGGAAAGAATAGAAATTTAAAATAGGTTAAGAGGAAAATCCCTCTCTAGATTTTTAGTTTTCGAACGTGTCCTCTCATTTGCGAATATAAAATCGAAAATTGTAAAACTACATAATTCAATTTTACTTTGTTTTTGAAATTAAATTATTCAAGTAGAAGCATTTCAAAGTCTGAAATTTTCGTTCTTTAAATTACTGAAAAGATTTATTTCAACTTAAGAAATTAATTTGACGACCCAAATGTAAGGAGAAATTGAAGAAGGTAGAGGGATGTGATGTAGAATGATTGATGATCGTGTTACTGGATTACGTATTTTAAGGTGTTGCTTCGTTTATTGTTTCTTCAAGTTCCGTTACTCGTTGTACATGATTTTATTCTTTCTTTATTTCAACACACTCTTGCTTCACATACAACTTTTTTACCAACAACGTACATCATCAAAAAAGAAAAATGTGCCCCTAACTGCGCTGCATCATTCACTATATATCTCATCGACTGTATATATGCTCAACTCTTCTCTTCCCCCTCTCATCCTCAACGATTTTTCCGCGCTTCTGTTTGAGGCGGTACTCTCTCAGAGTGAAAAGAGAACAATGAGCATATATGCAGTGTATACCGCATCGATTAAAAAGTATTGAACACTATGAGGCATATTACTTAAGAATACGAGAATGAAATACGAGGATGACATCATACACGGATGATATGAAGTAAGAGTGAAATGATGTAAGGATGATATCACACACGGGTGATAGCATGTCACATCGGTGTATCTCTTGGCACACCAAATCATTTCTAGAAAATCAATCGAAAATTAATAATTCTCTTCTTTTTTAATTTAAAATATTTAGTGATATGAATTTCAATAATAATTATAATTTCACTTTCGTTTTGAAAAGTTGAAACTTCTACAGTTCGCTCGTGTTTTCTATAGATTTTTATATTTGATTCAGGAAGATGTAGAGTCTGCCCTTGTTTTCTATACAATTTCTACCTATTTTTAGAAAAATGTAGAGTTCGCTCTTGTTTTCTATATATTTCTGTAGAATAAACCTATGCATTATATTATTATATTACAATTATTATGGATTGAGAAAAACGGTTAATCTGTTATATATATATATATTCGATTAATCAATAATCATTCCAAAGAGCTATTGGTGATAAAGATATTTTGCGTATTGTTACTAACTATGCAGTGAGTCATAAATATTGACACAAACAATACATACATTCATGAGCAAGGGTATCAATTGAAACAAAAATTCTGCATAAATAAAAATAATCAATTATCATCTTAGATTATACTCAAATACTTTCGAAACTTCTCTTCGACAACGATTAAAGTTTTTTCTTTATGAAATTTTTTTTTCATCAACACCCCTTGCTCGTGAATGTATTTATTTCTTTGGTCGATATTCATGACTGACTGTGTAGTTAATAACAAAACGCAATATGTCTAATTACAAATTATTCTATGGAATGATTATTGATTAATCGAATATATATTTAACAGATTAACTGTTTTTCTCAATTCATAATAATTGTAATATAATAATAAAACACATACGTTCATTCTACAAAAATATATAGAAAACAAGAGCGAACTCTACATCTTCCTAAAAATAAGTAGGAATGTATAGAAAACAAGGACGAACTCTACATCTTCCTGAAAATAGATATATTATATAGAAGACAAGAGCGAACTCTACATCCTCCTGAATCAAATATAAAAATCGACAAAAAACATGAGCGATCTCTACCGCTTCCTGAATCAAATGTGAAAATCTATCGAAAATACGAGCGAACTCTATATCTTCCTAAAAATAAATACAAATTGTATAGAAAACAAGAGAGAACTCTATATCTTCGTAAACCGAATACCATTCTATTTAAAAAATTGAATTTGAGCATTATAAGTACTTGTCGATAAAAGGTTCAAAACTAAAACACCATATTCAGTTGTTTTGAAAACAAGAAATTTCAATTTTGAATTATAAGTCAAGTAGAATTTAAAATAAAAAGAACGTTTTAAAATTTCAGTCAACTATAAAGTTCACAGTTGAAGTTTTAGTTTTTTTCAAAAAAAGGGATTTCAACTCTGAAGTTTATCGTGAACTTAAGTGTGAAACGAAAATAAAATTTTAAAGTTTTATTCGATTGATGATCGCAAATGAGAAGTAGCTGCTTTCGAACCCTCTAGAATTCCGTTGCCAAATATGAAATTTTCAAGTTGTAGTAATTTACGTATTTGTTTTAGAGTATAGTTGCTCACCTGTTTGGTATTGAAGGTAGCTTCGCCTAACTAGACTTGATTATACCATTCATCATGGAGTCATGTGTTCTTTGGAACGGTCTGTGGTATCCGTCAAGAATGAGTGGTTCACTTTAATTCATTGTGGTGCTTAAGAAAACGTTCACTTGGTTTGTTATTGACAAAAATCATATTTTCTTCTTCTAAAACTGCTCAAACACTAATACAAAGATTCAGCGATGTTTTTTTCGACACACAATAGCATAAGAAATGTTCCGCCTAAGATTAAGTTTCTGTTTTTAATGCCATTTTTATGTGCTTTTTGCATCTTTTTCTTACAACCGAAGTTTTCCTTCCATAATCTCAAGTTCTTCAGCGTACATTTGCATGAAAAACATAAATATCAAGCTATGGCTACAATACGCGAGAAACATTTTTGGTGCCCGTCCAGTGTGGTTGATGTTCGTCTTCGCCCAGACTCAGCTGTTGTACTTAGCGTTGATTATTTACAACCATTTACACTCATTAAAAAATTCACCTGGACTGAGCTCAATGCTTGCCAGTCATACGGATACTGCGTAAACTGCTACACAAATAATAACCCTACCTACCAAATGAAAAGAATAAAACTAAGATTGCACTGCTGAAGAATGATTCTTTTTTCACATCAAAGGGTTTTCTGGAAAAAATTAAAAACAAGTTACGCTCGTCGAGTGCCAATGCGCTCGTCGCTAGAATGAAAGATTATTCAAGCGACGTTAGTGGAGTCTGCTGGCGGGACATTCAAAAAGAGATCCACAGTACTTATTCACATCGTTTATAAGAAACTATTGTCGGCGCCAGAAGTAGATGGGGAAAACTCTGAGAGGAATATCTCCCGAACAGATGCACCTAGCGAGATAACCTTTTCACCATTAGAAAGAGTACAGTCTGGGGTATGAGTGTATGCTATATTCAGTCGGTTAACGTTTGATCAAGGTTGTTAGCTGTAATTGAAGATTTTGTACGTCACAGAACAAAAACGTTTTTCATATGAGTTCTCAACTCNGAAAATCAGCTTGAAGAAAGCATATGAATAGTGAAATTCATAAAACACATATGAAAACATTTGGAAATAATATATTAATAACCCATACTTCATTTGGTGAAGCACAAAAAGTTTCAGCTAAGATGTGTCTTGTTATAGGCACATGCACAGGTTAACTAATAATTACTTACAATTCCAAATAGAAATAAAAATGATAGAAAAATTAATAAAATACTGATTTTCCGTTTCATTGACTCATCAGGGCATCCAATAAATTTGTAGATTTCTCGAGAAATTCTCATTCGATAGAGCTGAAATTTTGGCAGTAAGTAGAGCACTCCAATATCTATCTATGATATAAATATGAGTCCGAATCATGTTAGCAGAGAAAAGTTATGGCAAAAACAAAGTATTTAATTTATTTTGGCCAGTGGGATATATACATCTGTTCAATTCGAAAAACCCTTGAATATGAAATACAAGAAGAAAAACAAACCCCACTACTAAGAAAAAAACTACATAAAAAAAGACAAAATGATATTGTTGCTATAGGATACTTGCATAGGTAGTCACCCACAAAAAGCTCAAAATATTCACAAAAATTTTCATTTTAACAGACTTTGTGGAGCTTTTTTCACTGATCATTTTGATAAAAAAATATTTTGGATTTCATCGAGAAATCACGATGTTATCGTCAAAATATAAAACACTGAAATACTGGATGGTTCAAAATGTTTGTTGTTTTCAGAATATCTCGGCACAGACACATGATAAAATCTTGTTTTTTTTTGTCAAAAGATGCGCCGTGAAAAGCTCTAGAAAAACTGTAAGCACAAATCCCTATTAACTTGTTCTGATGGTTTTTTCCACATTCGATTTGGGAGAAAATACATGATAGTGTTACTTTCTACCGTATTTAACGTAATAAAAGTGTTTGGAAGACTTTTCTATTCTGCATACATCTCGACTTTAGAAAATGATATCACCTTAAGTTTTTTTTCAAAAGATGCGCCGTCTAAAGCTCTATAAAAGCTGTATAAACAAACTCCTATTGCAAAGCGAAAAAGTCAAAAAAAATTTCCAAACATTTTTATTATCATTTTGTCTTTTTTTATGTAGTTTTTTTCTTAGTAGTGGAGTTTGTTTTTCTTCTTGTATTTCATGTTCAAGGGTTTTTCGAATTGAACAGATGTATATATATAGTACTCGATCTCTGCTACCCAAGCATACAATTGAATTGAATTAATGTTGTGTAGTTTAAATACACGACTCAAAACAAAAAAGTGGGGCGAGACTTTTGACCTCCACTGTATGTTATTCCTGATGATGGTGGTGCTTTTAAAATCGTTGCTCATCAAGCATTTTCTCAATATCTTAAATACGTAAAAGATCGTGCACGTTTAGGTGTTCCAGCATTTGATGAATCATTAATAATGATTTCGAAGAGTATCACTCAAAATGCTGGATATGATCAGCAAAAGACAATTGTTAAACTTCAACAAGATGATGCAACATCAAAACGACCTGTTGGTATCGATATTACAACAGGTAAATATTTTTTCAAATGATCAGAATAGTCGTTACTCTTATTATTATAGACCAAGCAATGGAACCAAAATCATTAGATATCTTTGACAATTATCGTGTTATAAACAATTAACTCATTTGCATACATCAATTGCAACAAATGTAATCTTTGCTCAAGAAATTCTTGGAGATAATTTATCATCATTACGTTCTGATGGACAATAATCTTTTCTTTTTTTTTTAAAACAAAATTCAGATAGTCGTCGGGATATGATATTAAAGCAATATACTGAACAAATATTTATAGATCTTTATGTTCGTATTACAAACAATCTTCATCAACAGCAGAACTATAAAGAATGTACAACAAATACAACTGTTGTTATTCTTATGATTGATTGAAATCTTTTGTTTTCATTCTTATTTTTCTATGTCCATTTCTTTAAGAATTCGATAACTTGTTTCCATTTTTCGTTCTCGATAACCTTCTTCAAGGATGAATTCTAGATAGTAACTGAAGAAAAAAAGAAAGGAAGAAATATATAGACAAAACCCTGAGAGCCCTAGAATATTAAATGCATCACGCATATATATTCGACGAAATAAAGAAACAAATCACAAGACAATCGTATTTATAAGCGTAGGTGATTCACGATATGAGAAAGAAAAAAACACAAATAAGGAACGAATAAACATATAAACAACTGCATAGAGGAAGGAATGTTCCAGATCCTCGATTGTCTTAACTAAAATTTTGTATTTCGTTTTAGATCATTTATCATCATGGCACTTGGCCCACATGTAGATAAAGTTTCTATTGCTACAGCTAGTGTATGTTAAAAGTTCGTTTTTGTACGAAGATTTTTAGTTTTTTTTTCTCATTTAGCTTGCAAGATTAGAAAGTAGTGAAAAAAAACTTGAAAACCAATTGGATGATGCAACGAAGGCTATTGTTAAAGCAGAAGAAGAAGGCAAACCAGTTGAAGAAATCAACAAGTTGAAGGACGTTAAAGATAAGACAGAAACCGCTATCTGGATTACTAAATTGGCAGCGGAGGATATCAGTGATGGACGGGATGAAATAATGAAGAAAGATCTCAGTAAGATTCATTGTTGTTTTCACTTGAGAATGATCTATTTCTTTTCGAAATATCATATTTCTCCAGAATATAACTATCTTGAGGTGTGACAACCGACCTTTTATACTTATTTATCATAAAAAATGTCATTTTACAGTATTATAAAAGCGTCATTTCTTAATGAAATTCAAAAGATTGTTTTTACTAAAATAATCAGCATAAAAAGCTATACAAAGAAGATTTCGTGGTTTTTTTTATCGACTACACATTGAATTATTTGACAGTGTTGTTGGGCTCTATCGAACTATATAGAAAAAGCATTAGATTGTTTTTTTGAATTATTCACATCTAATTAAATTTGTGTTGAATAGGATTACAAGATAAACGTGGTCAAATTGTGATTCTTGGTCTGGATCATGCTGGCAAAGTAAGATAAGAAGAAAAAAAAATTTTCTAATAAATCTTGCTTTTCTTTCTAGACAACTTTATTACGTACATTAAAAGACAATGATCCACTTGCTCAATTGGTATCTACTTTATATGAAAGTATGAAGAGATTTTTAGTTTTTCTTTTATTATAAATTTGTTGTTTATAGATTCAGAAGAACTAATTATTCGAAATATCAAATTTTTAGCATTTGATTTAAGTGGTCGTCATGCTCAAGGTAATAAAGCAATTGAATATTTTTATTTATCGATTTTTTTTCTGATAGCTGGTCGTGAATGGAAAAATCATCTTCCAGCTGTTGATTCAATTGTATTTCTTATTAATGCAACTGATCAAAATCGTTTTGCTTTAGCAAAAGCAGAACTTGATGTTCGTATCTCATTTTTTGTTCTATTTTATCTTAAAAATTGTTTTTTTTTGGTTTTTACTAGAGTTTATTAAGTGATGAACAAGTTGCTAGTGTACCAATCGCGATACTTGGTACGAAAAGTGATTTAGAAGAAGCAATCGATGAAGAAGAACTTCGTGAAACACTTGGTCTTGTTTCGGCAACAGAAGAAGTAAAAGAGAAAGTTTTATTTGCATAATAATAAATGTTTTTATTAGAGTACTAGTGATCGTTCAGATAAAGATAGTGGTCGCCAAATTCAATTATTCACGTGTGATGTACGTGAACAACGAACATTTGGTCAAGCATTTAGATGGCTTCGACATTATCTCAAGGACATCTAGTCAACATTATTTAGACTTTTTTCTGATTTTATTTTTTTTTATGCATCCTGCTGCCGTGTTTTTGTTGTTGTTTTTTTGAGAAAGTTATGGATAAACAGTTTTATTTTAACAGGTGATATTTTTCTTGTGTAAAAGAAAAAAAATACGTTCGTGAATATCGTTATCTTATTTCATAGATTTCGGCTCAGATGACTTTAGAAGACGCAAAGAAAATCATACAAATATCTTAGTGTAAAATTTACTATGTATTTTATCATGAGATGCTAGCTTAAATCGTAAATTATTCTTCCTATAAGATTCTTACATAATCTGACATTTGGAATCTTGTAAGATCTTGTATGATGTTACAAGATCATACCTTTAGGTTTCTTTCATGCAAAATGTTTTTCTTTTAACGATAGTTTTATTCATTAATATTTCAGCGATTAACTACGTCCTAACTCAAATGTTGGTTCTTCTAAAATTGCAAAATACATATTTTTATTCAGTTAAAAGATTGCACAGATTAAATTCATTTGATTGACTAAATTTATTTTTGTTTTAAGTGATTTATCAATAGAAACTTCAAAACTATTTCATTTTTGTTTGTTTGGAGTATTGGGAAATCTTATTGTTTTTTTTGAAATGTCCTTTCATATTTCCTCAATTAAATCTTTTAGTATATTCTTATTTATTTCAATTCGAATAAATGATGTGTATTTTTTTAATTTATTTTAAACCAAAGAAAACAGAATTAAGTTAACTCTTTACTTCTCAATGTCCACAGACATGAACATTGGTTGATCGATTGCAAAAATTAAACAAAGTGTAGAATTTTAAAACTTTAAAAATCCTTTTTGTAGTAAACTTCATGATCTATCGATTGCTAAAAAGAATATTTCATTCCATCGCTTCATCTTCAAAATATTGAACTCACCAAGACGATCATTTTGAGAAAATTCAATTTTTTTTAAACAAAGTGTTCTCTATCCACAGGCGGTGCAAACCTTTCGGGCTTGTTGTATGATATAGACTGACCAAAAGGTCTACTAGTGAATTAGATATGTTTCGCAAGCTTCACAATAACTTGGCAGTGTAAAGAAAGTAAGACACAAAATGGACCATGCACTCACTATTTGGCAGACAGAACACAATTAAGAACAACGTGTCTGTGTACGTTGTGCACCTTGTCACATGAGAAGTTGAAATAGAATTTATCATTGATTGATTGAATGTCTTCAGTGGTTATTTTATCGCTCAAAGAAAGACAAATATTTATTTAAAAATATATGTAAAAAGTACATGTGTTCTTTTAAAATAGTTTTTGTCTTTAGTTCTTCGCTTTCAATATTATTTCAATATAATGGGATAGATGCTGGGTTTTCGTAATTAATGGTGTCATCAAATCAAAAAAATAGCAGGGCTTGTCAAGTAGTTTAATCTCTCTTCTCTACCATATGGTCACTAGAGTAACCAAGCCATGCTGCACAAGCAGCAGGACATCTGCTGGATATTCCTACACTATTAGCATATTAGAGTCTAATATTCCATTTGTATGGTTATTTTATCACTGGCTCTTCTGGAACTGTTGCGAGAGGTAAAAGGTTAATTTAACGAAATTAGTCGATTTATTTTAAAATAAAATAGATTGCATTGCACAAATGAACCAGTAGATATAGCTACGAATGGCAAACAATGGCCACGATAAACCATACAAAGATGAGAAAATCGCTGCATCTAAGTTATTTGAAATATGATCAACATACATTTTTAATATATATATCCAAAATAGATGAACATAGAATTGAAATCAGATCAACTTTTAAAATAAAATAATTGAATACCCTAGATTGATAGTACTCATCATATTTAAATATTGATAGTATAGATCTTGTTAGGATTTCTATCTATCTTGAATCTCTACAGTTAATTAAGATATCCAATACAGTGTTTAACTTTTGAATGTTGAGAATTAATCTAATATTAAAAAAAATGTCTAAAATAACAAGTTTCATTTAGTTTTTTCTGTTGTTTAAATCGGCCTAGTTCTTCATAGTGATAGAATGCTTTATTCCATTATGATTAGCAGATCATGCTGTAGAAAGTGGCATAAAGTCGATTAAAAAGGGACAATCACACTTTCGAATTTTTGTTGATAAGTATAGAGTATATTGATAAGTAATAAGATCCATAAAAAATGAAATAAAAACGTTTCAACTTAAAATATCGAATGGATCAATTATAAAAAATCACATTCTCAGTATTTTTCGAATATTTCGACAATTTTTTACTTATTGTAACATATATTTAAAAAAAACGAATCATCTTTCAATTCTCTAGAAAATAAATCGATTTCTGTTTATCTAAATAGTTGAAAGAATAAGAATTTGCTAAGTCGTCATAAAAAAACTAAATTTTCATTCATAGTTCAGCGTCCGTCAAAAATAAAAATTATGTCTTGGGATCACTCTTTAGATCCTCAAGTACAATTACTTTATATAGCTATAAGGAGATTCACCCGTTAAGGATGGGCAGCACATCGTATATTCGAGATGATCATGGTAATGCTAGAACTAGGTTAATGATAAAAGTGAGCTGTTGATGACGAGCTATCAATAAAAAGAGATGATACATTGATGATTAAGTTTTCAAATATGATATGTAGAGAAAGACTATTAAAGTTTGAAGTTTTATTAATATTATAGTTATAGCTACTAATAGATGACTTCCATACTCGTCTGACGAATCTTGGATCTCAAATGGTATGGTAAATGTTGACATAATTCAAATTTAAGTCAAAATTTAAAAATATTTAATCAAATACCAGGATTCGCAAAAGATTAATTTTAGTCAATCAGATATAATACCAAATCAGATTGTGTAGAATCTCATGACACATAATCTTTCTACTATCTTTTAGGATTGAATTAAATGAGGCTCTTCAGGTCAACATATTACTTATCTATTACAAAAAATATTTAATACGATGAGAAACATTGTGAGAAAAGAAGAATGACCTGACGAATAATAACTTGACGAATGACTTGTCAATGAACAAAAGAGAATGCTTGACAGAAAAAAAATGTCATCGTCTATCTAATGATCGTCTATTTGTTATAAGATGAATATTTATTCTTCATTGTTCTCGCAGACGGTAATGAGAAAATATTTATATATGTATAAACAAGACTATATTGAAGTGAATGAATTAGATATGAACATTTCAAATAACAATCATCTCAATATACTCGATTTGCCCAATGAAATTGTATTCATTATTTTTAACAAATTGAATATGGTCGATGTTTTGTATTCACTTGTGGATATTACTCAACGATTTGATCAATTAGTATTGGATCCATTTTATATTCGTAATCTTAATATGACCTCTATGATAATGAAATCATATTATGATCGAATCTACTCAATAGACAATCAAGTCCTTGATAGAATTTATAAACATATTTTACCTCGAATTTATCATCACGTAAATAAACTCATTGTCGAACAACATTCGATTGAACGTGTTCTTCATACTATCAGTTATCCTCAACTTTACTCATTAACACTTATGGATTTTCCACAAGACGTACTTCTCAATTGCTTAACAAGTAAACTATTTAACTTTTAATATAATAATGAAATCATTAGAAATAAATGAATAATTGTTTATCTTTTTTTATTTGTAAATTGAAGGTAATACAATTCTTCGCAAACTTCTTAAAGAACAAATTACATGTCTTAAAATTGATGTTAAGGATAAGCCAACAAAACCATCTCCTGAAACTTTTTCGGTTATTTTAGCTTTCATTTTATGTGTATGTAAAAGACTAATCAAGTTAAATTTTTGTCAATCCTATCATCGATCAACGTTCTGTACTTTTGAATTATCATTAACCAATTTCAAGTCTTCAATTTTGACTACATTGAAAATTAATGTGAAAACTTTCGGTGATTGTCTTTATTTACTTGATGGACGTTTCAATTGTTTATCAACATTGATTATATATGTAAAAATAATTACAGATACATTAGGAACTATCCATAACACAGTGAGTATAATTGTCAATTCTTGTGTTTTGAGGTAAAAACAAATGAACTCGATAATTAAACATACTTTGTTTGATTTTTGTTAATAGAAAAAACTTCCCAAATTGAAACACTTCTCATTAACATCGCATCCACATATACTTCTATATGATAATCTAATTATTCCATTACTTCGACGAATGATAAATCTTGAACATTTGATATTATATCTGTCAATAATAAGAAGTAATAAGAACTATATTGATGGTATTCAATTATATGATGATATTCTTATTTATATGCCACGATTAAACAAATTTACTTTCAGTATACATACAAATGTAGACAAGAAGAATACTGAAATTGTTTTTTCATCGAATGAAGATATTCAGCGTAGTTTTAGCAGAAAAGAATATGGACCAGTTGGTTCATATATTGAAACTTTCACAAGAGAAAATAAACGTAGTTGCCACATCTATTCATTACCATATGAATTCAAAAGTAGATGCCATATCTATTCACTTCCATATCAATTCAAATATTTTTCTTATTTAAATAATTCTTTTCAAGGTGGCATGTTTGATAATGTTCAATCCCTGATAATGACGGATTGCTGCCCTTTTGAGCATAGCTTCTTCAAAGTTATCTCTCAAAGTTTTCCTCTATTGAAAGAATTGCATATTATTAATGAAGAACCACAGAAGGACAAGCAACAATCGATGCCATTAATTATATTTTCTCATCTTATTTTGCTCAACATTGATACTGCTCATGCAGATTATGCTGAACAGTTTCTTGTCGATGAACGTTGTTATTTACCTTGTTTGCTGAATCTTAATATCGGCTATGAATCACTCGTTCTGGTTACAAACAATTTTACTAATGATGCTACACGTCTCACTTGTAGCAAATTGACCAGCCTTCGTATAAAGGAATTGTTTGTACCTCCAAAAACTTTTCATCAATATTTTCCTTTATTGTAAATATTATTTTTGTTAAAATTTATGTCAATAAAAGCAAATAGTACAAGAAGATTGAATATAGTTTGATCATGCTAATCAGATAAAATAAAATGAATATAATAATAAGAAAAATGTTTTTAATATGCTTCGACAAACAAGAGTTTGATTGTTATGTATTTATCCTTTCAAAATATAATTGTATTCATAAATAAGATTTTACATTATATATTCACATCGATGTAATTATTGGTGGTGTTATTGTAATTATTGTTAATTTTGATGTGGATAAACATCGATATCATATTGTATCTATTTCAATAATACTAGCACAATATTTTGCAGCAAGCTATGTATTACGTTTAAGTTGTGCATTAAGAGTATTAATGCTGTTGCATATTCAACAGACATATCACAATAATGTAAACATTCATTGATACACTTTGAATATTGTTTTATCAGCATCATAAAAAGTAAATAATTATTCTTTTGTATATACATAGAGCGTTCCAAAAGTTCTCGGAACTAGTAATATCTCTTCAATAAGAAGTACATTATATTTATTTGTCTATAGCAAACGTTAGAAGACATCATAACAATGTTCGATATCAAGGTCGATTTGGTTTTGAATAATCTTTTTGTATTCATTGACATGTGTCAAACTGATGGCTCAGTTATTGGTTAGTTAAATTTATTGCATCTAGATAGATATTTAATCTATATTATAAAATAGTTGAATAACAGAAGCTTTGACGAAGGGAGGCCACTTGACTGTGTCTGATAGGCAGGGTTGCCAGATCGTCCGAATTAGTCGGAATTTTCCGAATTTCCTAAGTTTTTCCGACTGCCGTCCGACGTTCCGAATTTATCCGAATTCTTGAATTTTTTCCGAATCCTAGTATTTTTTTAAAAATTTCCTTTCTATTACAATTTTCCATATAAATTTTGATAGATTTCATATGGAGCCATTTTTATTTTCTTATAATCATGGGACAATTGATTTTATTCTTACAAATAAGAAGAGAAGGAAGAGAAGAAAAGATTTAATATGATAATTTTTTCTTCGAATCTCATATCGTTTAAGATTTGTTAAAATAGCTTCAATCAATGTTTAGTTTTCAAAGAAGTCATATAAATAAATAATATCTCTAAAAACCTTCATCTAAGTGTAAATAAATATGTCGTTTTGCATTTTAAAAGCTATATTTCAGAATAAACTGAACGTGATTATGGATGATAAATCAGATGATTCGTCTATTAGTATGACCGTGAGTGTAGAAGAACAAGAATCTATTCAACCAACAACGATTTCAAATTCCAAAAAGAGAGAAAAGGTGTTTTTAAAAAGGAGTGGACATTAGATAAAGAATTGTCATCTTGGTTACAGGCAGTGAAAAATGATTGCAAACAAGCTCGTTGTAAAGCTTGTTTAAAAACTTTTAGCATTCGTGAAAGAAAATCAGCTTGAAGAAAGCATATGAATANGCTTTCTGGAAAACCACATTTAGTTAATAATTGCTAAAAAACCTAGGACATAATAGAAGACCCCCCTGAGAAATTTTTACGACGAGACATAATAGAAGACCCGGGGTCTTTTAATGCAGGGAGGGGTTTATTTTTATAGTAATTATCTCTTTCGAGTGACATCGCTTCTTTCTATCTAATCCCGTCATATGTATCTTCCACTGTTCAATCAGGCTATTGCATGATTGGCGCATCAACATTCAATTTCAGTTAAGGCTCCAAACAGACTGAACAAAATAAGACGATTTAAAAGTGAATTAACGAATATAATTTCCGTTGTTACGTATAAACATCAATCACGTTGCTTAATTCAACTTTAAGTTAATTCATTTTTCTCTGTCTGTTTTACCCCTTTGGGGCCTAAGTAATCTCAAAAAGATGAATTAAGTGTGTTTTAACGTTTCTAGCGATTTCATTGATTAATTCAGTTTTAACTTGTTCAGTGTGATTGAGGCCTAACCGATGTGTTACTTATGTATTGTAAAAAGTATATAAATGCATGACAAACATTGTGACAAAAGAAGAATGACTTGGCGAATTACCCGTCAATGAACAAAAGAGAATGCTCCACAGAAAGAAAAATAACATCATCTGTTCATCATTGCCTATTATAATGACAAGAATATTTATCCTTCATTGTTCTTTGAAACGGCAATGAGAAAAATTGATGTATATATAAATTAACATGCTTGAATTGAATGAATTAGACATGAACATTTCGAATAACAAGCATCTGAATATAGTCGATTTGCCCAATGAAATTTTACTCATAATTTTTAACCAACTAAATATGGTCGATGTTCTCTATTCATTTGTGAATGTTACTCAACGATTTGATCAATTAATACTTAATCCACTTTATATTCACAGTCTTGATATGACCTCTATGACGATGAAATCATATCTTGATCGTATTTATTCAATACACAATCAACTTCTTGATAGAATTTGTCAAAATATCTTACCCCGAATTCATCATCAAGTAAATGAACTTATTGTTGAACAACATTCAATGGAACATGTTGTACATACTATCAATTATCCACAGCTTTACTCATTATCACTTATAGATTTTCAAGAAGAAATACTTCTCAACTATTTAATAGGTAAACTATTTAATCTTTTTTATTTCAATTAACATAATAGTGAAATCATTTTAATTATCGTTTTCTTTTTTTATTTGTGAACTGAAGATAATATGACTCTTCGCAAGCTTCTTACTGAACAAATTACATGTCTTAAAATTGATGTTAAGGATAACACAACAGCACCGCCACTTCCTGAAAATCTTTCGACTATATTTGCTTTGATTTTATCATTATGTAAAGGACTAATCGAGTTAAATTTTTGTCGATTCTATCATCGATCATCAATTTGTACTTTTGAGTTATCATCAACAAATTGTAAGTCGTCAACGTTGACTGTATTGAAAATTTCTGTGAAAAGTTTCGATGATTGTCTTTATCTACTTGATGGACGTCTCAATTGTTTATCAACATTGATTATATATGTCGAAGAAATTGCATATACATTAGGAACTATAGATAATACGGTGAGTGTAATTCTCAATTATTGTATTTCGAGAAAAAAAAATCAATGAACTCGAGAGATAAACATTGTTTCTTTGTCCATAGAAAGAACTTCCAAAATTGAAATACTTCTCATTGACCTCGTATCCACGCATAGTTTTTTATGATAATTTAATTATTCCATTACTTCGACGGATGATAAATCTTGAAGAATTGATATTATTTCTATCAATAATAAGAGCTGACAAGAATTATATTGATGGTGTTCAATTATATGATGATATTCTTGTTTATATGCCGCGATTAAACAAATTTACTTTTTGTATAGACACAACTATAGTTGAAAACAATATTGAAATTGGTCTTTCATCGAATGAAGATATTCAACGTAGTTTCATTAGAAAAGAATATGGACCAGTTTATTCGCATGTCGAAACATTCTCAAAGCAAAACAAACGTAGAGGCGACAGCTATTCACTTCCATATCACTTCAAAAGTAGATGCCAAATCTATTCACTTCCATATCAATTCAAATGGTTTCATTATTTAAACAATTCTTTTCAAGGTGGCATGTTTAACAATGTTCAATCATTGATGATGACTGACTTACGCCCTTTTGAACATAACTTCTTCAAAGTCATCTCTCAAAGTTTTCCTCTGTTGCAACTCTTGCATATATTCAATGACGAACCGCAAAAAGAGAAGCAACAGTCGAGAACATGTATAATATTTCCTCATCTTATTTTGCTCGACATTGATTGCGCTCATGTAGATTATGCTGAACAATTTCTCTTCGATAAATACTGTCATTTACCTTGTTTGCTGAATCTTATGATTGACTATGAATCACTGATACTGGTTACAAACAATTTCACCAATGATGCAGCACGGCTCACTTGTAGTAAATTGACCAGTCTTAGTGTAAAGGAACCGTTTGTTCCTCCAAAAAATTTTCATCAATATTTTCCTTTATTGTAAATATTATTCTTATTAAAACTTTTGTCAATAAAAGCAAATAGTACAAGAAGATTAATTGTATTTTGGTCATGCTAATTAGATAAAATAAAATGAATATAAGAAGAAGAAAAATGTTTTGTTCAATATTTCGACAAAGAAGAGTTTGATTGTTATTTATTTATCGCTTGAAAAATAAGTCTATTTTATATTAAGAAAATCAGAATAATATCTTATCTATTCTTAATCAAAATATACTTAAACTCATATAAAAAATAAAGATTAGGTTCTATAATCCGTGTAGCAGTTGTATCATTGCCAATTCTATGTTATTTTTATATTTGCTTTTCTTACTTTTAATCAAAATATTTTTCTTCACCACATTTTCCATTTCTACATAGAGATCAAATTCTCAATGCTGTTGCTGCTAATTGCTAAGGATGGGTGGTTCATTTGTTTGACGCATGCATCGAAAGTACTGAGTTTGAGTCTCAGCGAAACCCTCTACCGCCATGTAGTCGAAATCATTGAGGATCTTTAGAATTTCCAAATACGTACACTGTAAAAGATAACCGTAGAATAATAAAAAGCTTCTTCAAAGGGTATATGAAAGGGTTCATAAGGCGAATAAATCCTAAAAGAGTATTTGATTATGTTTATAAACGAAAATGAGGGTTTATTATTCTACCGTTATTTTTTACAGTGTGCTACATAACGTATGCCTTCTAATTTTCAGCAGGGATGAATCTTGGGAGCCTATGACGATCTATAGCGGTTTTTGAGGGTCTTTATGGGTCTATTCTGTAAAAAAAAGCTGTCCGATTGAATCTTTTTTTTTTCGATACCATTTTCAGAACCTTTTTAAGTTCCAGACTGTTTGACTAGAACCGAAAAAAAGGTTCATAAACTGGTACCCAAATCTATGACCATAAAAGGTCCAGAATCTTCGCTACAACCCTTAAAGGTTCCCTATGACACTTCTTTTTAGAGAGTATGGGAGTCTTTGAGAGTCTTTAGAATTTTGATATATGCTATAACAAAGAGCTTTTACTTTTTAGTGAGTGTGTCTCTATGGAGACCTTTGCGTGCGAGTGAAGTTCGAAAGAGTAACACTCACAGTCTCTGAGACTGTAAGAAAGCCAATAGTGAGACACTTTACCTATATGTTCAATATCTCCCGTAGCTGCTCCATAGAACATGAGTATACGATATGTCCTATAATTCCCATCATATCTATATCGACTAAAGATCTTATAACTAGATTCGCGAGATGTAGAGGAAAGTTGAACCACAGATGGTATCGGACCTTTGCAATCGTTGGCGGAAATCAGAGATATATACGGTATCTGAATAGCTAGAATCCGTCTGGTAGCATATTTTTGACTCTGATTCGGCGAGGTCTTCCGAAATATGACATGGTTCAAGTACCCAAATCTGGATTCGATTAGATAATAGTTAAAAATAGAAATGATATTTCATATATTAGTACACAGAAAATGATTGGTGAATATTTCTACAAGATAGGAAAAACAAAGAAGCATATTCAGTTGTTCTGTACTGTTTGTATTTTTCCACTTAAAATGTCAATCATTTGACATCTCACCATGGCTACAGAGAAATGATAATTGAGTAGAATATTTACTCTCTTGATATCCGCTAGTTTTTTGAATTATAGATAAGCTTTTATTGGTTAGAAGAAAATAGACTTTAGAATTGTTGAATTTTTTTGTTCTTAAATAAAGAAATGAAAGGAGGCGGATGATAAGTGATGAAATTGGTCCCTCGAGAAATTTGGTTTATTTTATGTAAAACTCTCGCACATTGTGTCCAAAAGTGATTTCTAGTGAAATTGGTCTTATATCACCTTGTTGTGGTGTCTCTAGGTCGAGTGACATACTCAATCGTTATCGCATATATATGAAACCCAACTACTGATGATAATCAACTTTTTTTATATATCAATGTGATGACCAGTCAACGCGACTTTTATATGATTTGATAGCACTTTTGAAAGGTTAAAAAATGGTGTAAAAATATCCAGGAACAATCTTGTCCGAAATGGCTTAGCATGGGATACAGTCCAGTCATATCCTTACATTATGAGTATTATTCACTGGAATCATGTGCCAAAGATATTTCATCTAATCGACCGCCACGCTAGTTTTTATATGATTCGATAGCACTTTCAAAACGCTACAAAATGATATAAAAACATCTAGAAAAAAAGCATTGGCCGCTCAAAAAAGTCCTGAACATACTATTCTCGGAACATGATTTTGTGCAAAGGGGAAAAAGCTGATTCCAGGTGATTCTTCTGTTCGGAACCAGTGGTTTCCCCTTGCTCACTAGTTTCTTAATTGATAAATGGAGAATTTTCTCTCTCATGAAAATTCTCTTTTATGGAGTAAAATCATTGAGACAACAAATTATTTAACATTGCTCTTTAAAGATATTGTTTCTTCTTCTTTAAAAACCAATATGAAAATCCAATTAATAAATAAAATTAGAAAAAAAAATTTAATCATTTCGATCAATCTTCGAATAATAAAATAAAAATGAAAGATTTCAAGAAATTGATATTCTTGGATTAATATGGACTTTTCTTATTTCTCTACTCTGATTAGTTTAGATGTCATATCATTCAGTAATATTCTCAACTCTGATGGAACATTTTATTTTATCTATTCATTTTGATAAATATAAATCAGCATGCACTTTCTTTCCAACAAATAAATGTGAGAAAAAGAAAAAGAAGATAAAATCGTAATACGATTGACAAATTCTCAAATAATAGGGAGAGAGAGAGAAAAATATTAACACTCATTTTGAACATATTAAACTAAACAAATTATCAATAAAATTCAAATAAATATCAAGATCAGATGAAATATTTTGTGTCGTTATATTGAATTCTTTAGAAAAAATAGAATATTCTCTCTTCTATTAAGGATCTCATTAAAAGTCATCAATTGATTTTAATTGAATATAGTTCAACGATAAGAATCAGATCTTGACAGTTAGGAAAACTGAGACATATTTCAAAGGAAAAGAGGAAAAAATATTTGAGATTGTGTCTCTTCTCATATATACGCAACACGATCGAATCAAGATGTCGAACGTGCTCGTAAGCATCCCATGTCTTCATCTCTTTTGATAAGGATTTTATTATATGAGTCATCTCTACAAAGAGACGAAAAATTGATTGATGCATGTCTTCTCTTTACATTTTTCGCGCAAAATCGATGGCCGTGTACACAGGATATTTGAATAGCTGCTTTCATTTATGCAGAAAAAATTCAGTAAGAAAATGAAGAATGATACACTTTGTTGACTATCAGCATCATTGGGCTTTTTTCCAATTTTCATGATAAACAACGTAAAGTCAATATTCAAGTGAAGTGATGATGAATCAGCAAATGTTGACAATCATAACATGATGTTTTTGACATTTTTATACAGGCAAATCGTTAGACACTATTGTACAGAGTAACCAACAACAGTGCTTATGCATTCTATGAGAAGTCTTGTACACTCATCCATCCTAATCATGTCTATATTTTTCAATTATATGATAGGCAAACCTAACAATAATGGAATTATTATCATTTTTCAATGAGTATATGGTGAGTCTATTTCATCTCTAGCTTGATTTTTCCACAAAAGTATGTTGTAAAACAAAAATTTATTATCAATAGTTCACTAATTTCGATACCATAAAGGTGCAACATATTCACATATGGTATACAATGATGGAAAATAGAGATTAAATGCACTTGTACGTAAAAATTGCTCGTTTACATACAATTGAGTCACGCGAGCACAATTGACTAATCCTCTTGTATCTGTGAATGCATTTATTATTGTCAACAAGTCTTCATAGTTAAATTTGAAGTTCGTCGAGACTAGGTAATCGTGCTTTTGTATCAATGAGAAATTGTTCGACATAATTGAGATGAATATTGTTCGAGAAGATTAACATCATCAGACGTGGAAATTCGATAGGTGGTAAGATTTGATTTCTGTATAATTTTGGTTCTTCTCCAATAATGTATAGACGTTCGAGACAAGAAAAGATCGAGATACGCAAATGAAAAATTCATGTTCGAATGCTAGTTGATTATTTGTGCACAATATTAAAGATCGAACACTTGTGAATATTCCCATTGGAAAAATATTTTGATTAATATAATCGAGTCGATCTAGTGTGTATGGTTGTGAAATAATGTAACAAAAACGAAATCCACCTGGAAAAGATAGAGTAGAACAATTGGCTTGAAATTGATTGTACTGTCCAATTGGAAATGTTCGTTGAATGTCGTCATTTTGCAGTAGGTTTACCGAATTATCGACTCTGATACCAGTGCTAATGGGATAAATGTGAGCAATGGTGGCAAAAAATTAAGAATTTGTTTGTTTAAAACAGTGCCAGTTAAAAACCGATCTCCTTCGATAGATAACCACAATGAAAGTTGTTCGAGATTGGAGATTCGATGCAAGAGAGACAAGATCATACCTTTTCATTGATATCGATTCATAACAAATCAGAGAGAAAATCTTCATATTCAAGAGAGATATCTAAACGAAAAAACAAATTCTACGTATTATCCACTTAAGAATATTTACCGTTGTGACTCTGGATATCAAGTCGAACGACGTTATCTCTATATGTTTGATTTCGATAGGAAATATGTTCAGTTGAGGTAGACGACCGTCGAGTAAAAATAGACAATCGGAAAAGTAGAAAACTTTGATATTTAATACGATCAATGTTGATGAAGTACATCGATTTGGATACAATCCAAGGAGCAATATCGGATAAATAGACTTATATGTTAATCATCTAATCAAATTCATGGAATTAGTTAAGATCTGCTCGTACACAACACTGTTCATGATCGCCGCTGAATCATCCGCATATTGAAGGACAAGTTTTTTTTATCTGATTTTTCAATAATGCGGGGTACGTCTGAATCTCCTTAGAAAAAAAAAGGAATAATATAATGTCTGCTTAAGAGGCAATATTTGTCGATTTCTTGTTGTCCAAAACGGAGATAAGATAATTTTTATCAAAAAAAACGATCGATTTGAAGATGTGAAATTCGAATAAATAATTGAACAGCTGTTATCGAGCCAACATTATAGTCGACTTCTGATAATGCCATGAAATCTTATAAACGAAATTAATGAATGTGTTATAAGCACGAGTCAGATCTGAATCATTTGGATAATAACATGTCCAATATTTGTACTTGAAAGATGTGTGAACTGTTGCTTGAGAGGGAGGGTGAAGAGAAGATCTTGACGTACAAGTTGATTAGAATTATACATATATAGAAGATGAATATCAAAAATATGTAATTTTGGCATATTAGATAAAATCAATCGTTCCCATCAATTTGTTGATAAATAAAAGACTTGAAGTTGATGTGAAAATTTTGTCAAAAATAATTCAATATGATGAAAACTTATCATTTCCATTTCGAAAGAACGATGTGTTAAATTATTTAATACAATAATTCGTAGATGTGTACATGTTAAATATTTGATCTCATCAGTTTATTACATGATAAACGATAAAGTTGGGAAAGATATGATAAAAGGACATTAAGATCATTCATATGACAGTTATGATCAATAACAAAATGTTTAATAGGACTGTATGGATGATTAGAAATATGTAATGACTCAGTTGAAAAATGTTCTTTGGATGATACTTTGCAATATATCGTAGGGCAGGTAAATGAAAGATTTGCTGATACAAAATACTTTTATTTTGGTCGTGATCAATAGGTACAACAATCAATGATGAAAGATTGGATAAAGAAGATAAATATTGCAGAAGATTTTCAAGAATAAGTGTTTCTAGTCGAGGAAATTGTAACAGATCATAAAGTGATGAAGAAAGAAGATTAAAAATATTAATTCGATATTGATAAGTAGTNATCTGAAAGAAGGAATCGGGGGACGCTACCGGTCTCTTCTTTCGAATAATGAAGACCTCAGGTCTCTAGCTATCTTCGGTACAAAGTTATAAGCATTTTACCCAACTGCCTTTTTTTAAAACTCCGATACTAGAAAAGTTAATCCAGCAGCAAAAGTTTTTCATGATTTTTCAAGTAATGAAATAAAAGACCACAGATATACGTTTTCAACAGAGTGAGATTACAAAACTAGAAATTGGCCAATTTTTTATTTTGTCTTTCACCATTGTATCAGGAAAATTTTGAGCCTCCCCTAGACTCAAATCGCTCCGCCGCCTCTGTGACGAATTATCGGACGAACGATTTCTCAATAAAGAAAACAGAATGCTTGATAGAAAGAAAAATGGTATGATTTGTTAATAATATAGCCTATTATTATAATATGAGTATATATTCTTCATTGTTCTTCCGGACGACTATGAGAAAAAAAGTGTATATCTATATATACAAACAAGAGTATCGAACTCAATAAATATGAACATCAACGTATCAAACCGCGATCGTTTCAATATACTTGATTTACCCAATGAAATTTTATTTTTTATTTTTGAAAAACTAAATATGGTTCATGTTTTATATTCATTCGTCGATATTACTCAACGATTTAATCGATTAGTATTTGATCCATTTTATATTCGTAAACTTAATTTAACTTCAATGAAAATGAAATCGTTTTTCGATCGGATCTATTCAATAGATGATCAAATTCTTGATAAAATTTGTACAAATATTTTACCTCAAATTGATGATCAAATAAATGAATTAATTGTTGAACAATATTCAATGGAACGTATTCTTCATACTATCAATTATCCTCAACTTTATTCATTAACACTTATGAATTTTTCAGAAGAAACACTTTTCAATTATTTAGCAAGTAATCTATTTAATACAATAATGAAAGAATTCCAATTCGAGATAAGTTAATTATTTTTTGTTTGTTTATCAATTTAAGATGATACAATGCTTCGTAAACTTCTTGCTGAACAAATTACATGTCTTCAAATTGATTTTAAGGATTATCCAACACTACCAGTTCCTGAAACTCTTTCGGTTGTATTTGCTTTAATTATATTTCTATGTAAACGACTGAACAAATTAAATTTTTCCCAATCGTATGGACGAGCGACATATTGTACTTTTGATTTATCATCAACTAATTTCAAATCTTCGACATTGACTGTCTTAAAAATTTACGTAAAAACTTTCGACGATTGTCTTTATCTTCTTGATGGACGTTTCATTTTTTTATCTACATTGATTATTAAAATAAGAACAATTCAAGAAACATCAGGAACGATCGATAATACGGTTAGTATAATAATCAATTGTCGTACTTCGAGAAGAAGACAATCAATTTGATAATTAAATATATATAGTTTATTTGAATTTTTTTTCATAGATAAAACTACCAAAATTGAAACAGTTTTCTTTAAAAACATACCCACATATATTATTATATGATAGTTTAATTATTCCATTACTTCAACGAATGATAAATCTTGAAAATTTAAAATTATATATTTCAATAATAAGAAGTAACAGAAATTATATTGACGGTAATCAATTATATGATGATATACTTATTTATATGCCAAGATTAAACAAATTTACTTTCAATATACAAACATTTGTTGATAAAAGGAATGATGAAATTATTTTTTCATCTAATGAAGATATTCAACATAGTTTCAATCGAAAACAATACGGATCAGTTGGCTCATATGTTGAAACTTTTACAAGAGAAAATAAATATAAATGTCACCACTATTCATTACCATATGAATTTAAAAGTCGATGCCATATTTATTCACTACCATATCAATTTAAAGATTTTGATTTTGTAACTAATGCTTTTCAAGGTGGTATGTTTAATAATGTTGAATCTGTGGTAATCACAGACTGCAAGCCTTTTGAACATAATTTCTTCAAGCTCATTTCCGGAAGTTTTCCTCGATTGAAACATTTGTATATCTTTAATAAAGAACCAATGGAGAACAAAGAAGAATCAATATCGTTGATCGTATTCTCTCATCTTATTTTTCTCAATATTTATACTTGTCATGCAGATTATGCTGAACAATTTCTCGTCGATAAACACTGTCATTTACCTTGTTTAATGAACCTCGAGATTGAGTATGAAACACTCGTTTTGGTCACAAACAATTTTACTAATGATGCTACACGTCTCACATGTAGCAAATTGACCAATCTTCGTGTACAAGGACCATTTGTACCTCCAGAAAATTTTGATGAATATTTTCCTTTATTGTAAATATTATTTTTATTAAAATTTGTGTTAATAAAAGAAAATACTATGAGAAAATTGTAAATATTTTGATGAAGTTGATCAGATAAAATAAAATAAATGTAATGAAAAGAAACTTTTTATTACATGTCACTTATGAAATTTGGTTTCGTGTGTACTTATCTTTTGAAAAATAATATCAATTTAGATATAATTTTTAAGATTATATATTTGTGTTTGTAAAGTAATTAGTAGTGTCGTTGTTAATTATGACATAGATAAATATCGATATCATACCGTATTTATTTTACTAATCTAAACAGAATTTTTTTTACTCTAGGTTGCGGGTTATGTTTAAATTGTACGTTGAGAATATTAATACTACATATGTAATGTAGATGTAGATTTTAGGTTGCTTTATTTTATATTCAATTGAAGAACTACATAATGAATATATTGGATTGATCAAGTTTATTTATATTTAAAATAAATTTTTGATCTATTATGTAAAGATCCACAGAAAACCTAATTTTTATGTGGCTTTGTTTTGAATTGTTTTAGGCATACATATATATCCACACAAATATAAACAAAATCAAATTAAATAAAAAAAAAAGCAAAAGATAGATTCATTATAGAATAAATTAACAAAAAAGAAAGAATAAATAGAGGAAATATACTTCTACGATGAAGCGAGTAATTTATATATTTATATACTTTTTCGAATTGTGAAATAATTCTAATAATATAATAATAATAATAATAATAATAAATTTATAATGAGAATTACCTAAGAAAAACGAAAATGTAAATTTATAATATGAAATTAAAATAAAATATTATATGAAAGAACATATTTATTGAGTTGAAATTTTTATAATTATTTTTGTTACTATATATGTATTATATATAATGTTTCTATACACAAACTATTGTCATTATATCGATTATATGTGTTAATAATAAATAATAAAACATTTTATATTATGTATAACAAAGAAAAATTAACATTTAAATATGTTAGATACTTACAAAATTTTTTTTTTATAAACATTTAGAAGAATATCGACAAAAATTAAATAAACAATTTGATGAAATTGAATTTATCAAGATTTATATTTATTTCAAGAAGTATTTTATCAATATATTGAAAAATCATATAATTACATCTTAATATAAGAAACAAATAACACTCGACCGTTTATCTCGCTTAACCCTCGACTGAAGATTTTTCTCTTCAAGTATACTATATTACGCTACAGTCCTCATCAGAAATACTACTAACAGTGAAAAAAGAGTGGATATAAGTATACATATAGACATTCCTATGAATATTTCTGTAATCGGTCATATTTCTATTCGAATAATACGCATTACTATTAATTCAGGCGATTTAATAGATGTGATGCACATTAGTAATCAACTGTAGCCTGATTAAGCGACAGTGAGGGTGCAATATTCAAATACATCTGAGAAAAAACGCATCTGTGACACTAGTGTAAGAACATATATTCGATAGATGAATTCATCGGGGCAATCATACATATCAACATCAATACGAATTTTATTTTTATTCATAGCTAATTCAAATACCATAAATCTATATACTCAGAATAATGTCTTCAGTCACATGTGTTATTAAATATTGAACCTGNTTTTTCGGTCCAACTTATTCTTAAGGCTTTTTAGTCTTTGGTAAACATTTTGAATCAAATATTTTTACATATTTTTGTAGTGGACACCTTGCTCTTTCTAACGAGAAAAAGATCAAGTTTCTATGAAGATTCATTGCCATGCTATACTGAAAAGAAAATTAATGCAGTACTTTTGCACCACCCGTTAAATAGAATATAGTTTAATATAAAGGTTCTTTTTTTTTTATTGATATTTAACTAACAACCATAGTTAATTTAGTAATTATTTGTTTTGAATTAATTGAAATATATAAAATTAATCGTTGAATTAGTTGATGAAATAATTCTCGTATTTGATTATCGTCTAATTCTGATCTAAACAATTTAACAAATATGAAAATGAATAATTATAGATGGTAAATAACGTACAAGTGTTTAGAAATTTTATTACAAAGAGCAACAGCACCAAAGAATTGAATACTTGAAGATTTACTTATATCTAAAAATTTCCATGGAAAATCCCATGCTGATTTAGAATATTGTAAATTTTCAAGAATAGTATTCAATTGTTGATGTTGTTCAGTTGATAATTGAGATGTTGGAGAATAAAAATCATTGATTATTCGTTCTATTTCAAATAGAAACGTATTTTTACAAATAGTAAAAATATAAAAACTAACCAATATATTCAGCAGAATAAATTGTTATTACATTTGTATTAGTTGATATTGGAGTTGTCATTAGAACAATAATTAAGTAACAAAAAAGACAAAATTATATTTAAATATTTCTTATCGTATATTCGGAGAGTGTTGCTATACGTTGAGAATTTTATGCAATCGTAGATACCTGTATGATGTCACTGGTGCACAATGTCATGAACATTGTCCATCATATGTTAAATTGTGTTAATTGACTCCAAATATCAGGAGAAATACTGGTTACGTACTTTGGAAAGAGGTATGAAATTTACAAGATAATCTTTTTCATACCTCTAGCCGATTGATAGACTCCACCCTTAGTTTATGTTGATGTCAGTGAAATTGATGAAATTAAAGGGTCTGTTTGATTGATCGGATAATATCATGCAGAAAAGACCTACATATCTACCTATATCACTATCTTTTTATCTCAAAATATGTCTAGAATGGTTTTTGTTTTATATCATGTGCTCAATGCGATTCCATCTTGCTTATTTTTTAATGAAAACCGATGGTTCAAGCGGGTTAACCACATTGAATTACTTTTTGATTGATTATTATATAAAATAGACATTATCTACCCTAAAAAAGTGGTTTTTTTCGAAAAAAGTCGGTTTACTATGATATAAAATACTATATTAGATGAAGCTAGAATTTTTCTATTGGTTAATCCTTCAGAAGGACTTATTAAATACTGTGGGACCAATTGAATATCCACTTTTGCCTTTTTTTTTTTTTAGTTTTTATTACTTTATTTTTGTTATTTATTAAGCAAAACCTTTGAGACCAAGATGTTACTTGTGTATTATCAAAATTTAAATAATACATGACAAATATTGTGACAAAAGAACAATCAGTCAACGAATGATTCGTCAATAAAGAAAAGAGAATGTTCCACATAAAGAAAAATAACATTATTTGTTCAGCATTGACTATTATTACGCGACTTGAATATTTATCCTTCATTGTTTTATCAGACGGCAATGAGAAAAATAGATATGTATATATAAATTAATACGCTGTAAATCAATGAATTAGATATGAATATTTCGAATAATAAACATCTCAATATAGTTGATTTTCCCAATGAAATTTTATTGATAATTTTTAACAAACTAAATATGGGCGATGTTCTCTATTCACTTGTGGATGTTACTCAACGTTTTGATCAATTAATACTTGATCCATTTTATATTCATAATCTTGATATGACCTCTATGATGATGAAATCATATTATGATCGTATCTATTCAATAGAAAATAAAGTTCTTGATAGAATATGTAAAAATATCTTACATCGAATTCATCATCAAGTAAATGAACTTATTGTTGAACAAAATTCAATCGAATGTGTTCTTCATACTATCAATTATCCTCAACTTTACTCTTTATCACTTATAGATTTTACAGAAGAAGTACTTCTCAAATACTTAACAGGTAAACTATTTAATTATGTTTATTTCAATTAACACAATAATGAAATCATTTTAATAATGTTTTTCTTTCTTTTTTTATTTGTCAATTGAAGATAATACAACTCTTCGAAGACTTCTTAGTGAACAAGTTACATGTCTTAAACTTGATTTTAAATATGACACAACACTATCAATTTCTGAAACTTCTTCGATTATATTTGCTTTGATTTTATCTTTATGTAAACGGCTAATCAAGTAAAATTTTCATGAATTCTATGATCGATCAACAATTTGTACTTTTGAGGTATCATCAATGAATTGCACATCGTCAACTTTGACTGAATTGATAATTGATATAAAGACTTTCGATGATTGTCTTTATTTACTTGATGGACGTCTCAACTGTTTATCAAAATTGATTATGTATGTCCTAGAAATTGCATATACAGTAGGAACTATAGATAATACAGTGAGTATAATTGTCAATTATTGTTGTTCGAGAAAAAAAACAGTGAATTCAATAGATAAATATGCTTTATTTTCTTTTTTGTATTTTTTGATAGAAAAAACTTCCCAAATTGAAACACTTCTCATTAAGGTCGTATCAACGTATAGTTTGTTATGATAATCTAATTATTCCGTTACTTCAACGAATGATAAATCTTGAAGAATTGATATTATTTCTATCAATAATAAGAACTGGAAAAAATTATATTGATGGTATTCAATTATATGATGATATTCTTATTTATATGCCACGATTAAACAAATTTATTTTCAATATAGAAACAAATATAGTCGAAAACAATATTGAATTTGCTCTTTCATCGAATGAAGATATTCAACGTAGTTTCATTAGAAAAGAATATGGACCAATTTATTCACAAGTTGAAATATTTTCAAGAAAAAATAAAAGCAGATGTCACAGTAATTCACTTCCATATGAATTCGAAAGTACATGTCGCATCTATTCCCTTCCATATCAATTCAAAATTTTTTTTTATTTAAACAATTCTTTTCAAGGTGGTTTATTTAATAATGTTCAGTCGTTGATGATGGCTGACTTTCGTCCTTTTGAACATAATTTCTTCAAAATTATCTCTCAAAGTTTTCCTCTATTGAAAAAGTTGTATATATTTAATGATGAACCGCAAAAAGACAAGCAACAATCGCAAAAATGTATAACATTTTCTCATCTTGTTTTGTTGTGCCTGTATTGTGCTCATGTAGATTATGCTGAACAATTTCTTTCCGATAAATACTGTTATTTACCTCGTTTATTGGATCTTCGTATTGGCTATGAATTCCTCATACTGGTTACAAATAATTTCACCAATGATGGAATACGTGTCACTTGTAGTAAATTGACCAGTCTTCATATTAGGGAGCCGTTTGTACCTCCAAGAAATTTTCATCAATATTTTCCTTTATTGTAAATGTTTTTTTTTTGTTTGTTAAAACTTCTGTCAATAAAGGAAAATAATACGAGATGATGAATTGTACTTCGATTATGCTAATCGAATAAATTAAAATGAATATAACACGAAGGATAGTGTTTTTGATATAGTTCGACAAACAAGAGTTCGATTGTTATTCGTCTATCGAGTTAAAAATAAGTGTATTGATAAATAATATTTTAGATCAAGAAAATGAGAATAATAAATATCTTATCTATTCTTAATCAAAGTATACTTCAACTCAGTGATTTATTTACTGGATGGGTCGGATGGGCACCGCTCACCCGAAAGTATACACATCAGGGATCGAAGCGAGCGGCCGCTCAGTACAATGCAGCGCAATTTGTTTTCGATAGAACCGCTCACCGTATCCCGCAGCACGAGGTTGATCGCTCACAGTACAGCGCAGCGCAAAAAATCCGATAACACTTTATCTATGCTGAATTGAACTTCTCATAAAAACTTACGAAGATGTCGCAGATGAAGAAAATTTCTAGAATGGAACAAATGAAATTACGAGATCTTCAACATAATCATTGTGTTCAATACACCAGCAAAAAAATTAAAACATCGTTGTTATAACGATATGAAGATGTTAGTGATGAATATGACGAACATGATGATGATTTAGATTCCACAATGCCACCAGGAATTGATGAATTACAACGATATTTAGCTCTACAAATTGACAAAACAAGTTTGCGTCAAAATCCATTAGACTTTTGGCGAGAAAATCAGTTATCATTTCCTCGTTTGTCGAAATTAGCCAGACGTATTCATTCCATTCCAGCTACTATTGCAACCGTAGAACGACAATTTAGTGGCGCCGGAGTTGTCATCAATGAAAGAAGAACCAATCTCAAACCAAGCCAAGTAGACAACATTCTTTTTATTCGTTCGTGTGAAAAAATGTCCATTTTCTAACAGTCGATTATTGTTTTTTCTTTGTGTTTCTTTTAATGTTGTTTTGTCAATTTATTAGTATGTAATCATGTTTATATTGCACTTTATTTATCATCTATAATGTTCTTGTACAGCTTCGTGGTCAAAGGAAGAATTTCTATCTCTTTTTGTTGTTATTTTTGTACATATGATGTGAAAAAATAAAGAAATATCAGGTATCTTTAAGAAGAAGAATAATAACAAGTTGTTATACGACCGCGTACCGTACAGCGCAGCGTAGAATTTTTGACATAAGACTGCACACCGCCCGCGTCAGTGTGGGACTTGCTCCGCGCGCGAAATTTTTCTAAGGCTATCGCGTACCGCGTAACACTGCTCAAAAGTTTAGGTAACCCGTACCGCAAGGCGTGAAAAAAAGCACGCTGCTTCGATCCCTGATACACATTGATTTATCCATTGAGTGGCCCGGATAGGCAGCCTCCATCCGAAATTTCGCTTTGCCTACCCAAAAAATAAAACCTAGATAAAACACTGCTTCAACTCATATAAAATATAAACATTGGAAATGAATATTCTTCTTCATTATTCCGAGAGAGTCCATGAGAGTATCAACAGTTGTTTCTGTTTACGAAGTCCTGGTCAAAATTTTTATTTTTTATTTTTTATATGCAGTTGGGTGGTCATGGTCTAAAACTACCTAACCCAAATTTTTAGTTCATTTGGATGTTCTATATTAAAGTTATCTTGGATAGATTTTTGAGCACTATCTACCTATTATTAAATAAATAGTCATAACTGGTTGCAAAAATGCTTACTAGGATTATATTTCTACACATCACAGAATTTTTTTCGACCTAATCTATTAAAAGATAAAGTATCGACAGCTGAAAAAAATGAGCTATTTAGAATATTGCATACTATCTATTTAGTAGAGTTACGAAGTCTAACATCAGTTGAAATTGTTAGAATTTATGAGTGCAGAAAAGTCGGTTTTTTGCACTATTTCTGATGTCATTTTTCGAAATCAAAGTAGTTCGAGACAAGAAGGAAAAGCAGATCTTGGATTCTTGGATCCTATGGATTGTAGAGCCGATTCATTCGACGGCACCAAAATTCATCAAAAGTTATGATAATTCGCAAAAATACATTAAGATCTATTAACATTGTATAAGGTACATCCATATCCACGGTAGTTTATCAAACTACACTGCTTTTTAATAAAAGAAGATAATGTAGATCCCAATAAATTCTGGTGGATCCTGATGAACACTAATAAATTGTAAAATAGATTTATTGGAATTTACGGAAATCTATCAGAAGTTACTGCAATCTAATAAATTTATCAGAATCGATGAGATAACACCTAACAAAAATATCTTCCCCTTAGATCTCAGTCATTATAGCAGCTATAGATATGAAAATTTGTATGTACATAGCTTCCGATAAATGTAGATCAGCAGCACAATCTACGCTCCAATTCCACACGGTAGAAGCAAGTTATAGTACATGCTGCTGAGCTAAAACCATTTTACTATATATATTAATGTGTAAAATTGTCCAATCTGATTGTGCACTTTAAACTTACAGAAAATGTCTTCCTATAGTTTTTTAATGTCCTCTGAAATTTTCATATATAAATCATTTACTAGCGAGAAATGATGACTAAAATAAATTACAGATTATAACTTATTTCTCTTCTGTTCATATAACTTTTATAAGAAAAACTATGGCGATAATCATGAATGCATGTGGATCATAAACGTGTATAGAGTAAAAATCTTCTTGTCAAGAAAAAAGGCTTTAGTGTCTCCTAATCTTTAAAAATAATCTTCTTGTTGTTCTCTTGATATTTCGCGAAAAATCTCGTGGCTAACATTGGTTCTTTTTTACTAGAATCCATTGATCTTTAAAAATTGCATTTAGTAACTCTGATAAATATGATTCAAGAGCTTTTTTCATCATAATAGTTATAANTTTCATGGATATCTTACATTGTTGTCTAAACCGCCACCCCTTCCGCCTATTGGACTTTATTTTTCTCTTACCCGCCACTCCCTTCAAAAATTCCTGGATCCGCCACTGCGTTGATGTAGCTCGGTACTACGACCATATATTTGTGCTGCCGTAAAAGAGACAATAGGGTCATACACATAGGCATTGGAAGCAAAGCTTAAACTGTGTACAGGTTATTCCAAAATCATAAGACAACCCATCGATGTTGTCAAAATATATTCCTGTGATTTTAAGTAGCTCACATTATAAGTTCATTTTTAAAAAATGAATAAATTTTATTTAAAAAATCACTAGGGTACGCAGTAATTTTGGGATACCCTATACGATTTCTATGCAGTGAACTCAAACTGCAATTCGGAGTTCGAATGTAACAGTTACATCTCAACTTAGTCTACTATCCAATCCGAGTAGATAGACTATTATTTAGATCATTTCTCAAGCGCTACTTGAGGTATATGGACAATTATGAAAACACCTTGAAATGGACCAATGTCGAGTTCCAGCGTTTCTAAATATTAATTTTTTTTTCGAATGTATGCTGCGATTCAGATTTTCAGTTATTTCCTTCACTGCATGGAGATTATCATAGCCAACTCTAAAACTTTCTCATTAGATTTTCTTGTATTTCCTTTTATTGAGAAACTGCCAATAACTGTGTTCAAGACCGAATCTGAATGCGAAACAGAACGTTCTGCTTTAAAGTATTCATAATTAGCTATTCGTTTATCTTGGTAAATCATTGCGGTTGTTTTTTCATAAAGCGATGATGAACGATGCCATGTTGACGAGTGAATGCATAATGATCTTAAACATTAAAAAGTAGAGCATCCAATTAGAAACAAACTGAAAAATGAATCAAACCTAAAATAATAAGTTTGAGCTTTTGTGATTGTCTCAGTGTCAACCAGCATGGTAAAATCCAACTTTTCCTATCCTGGTCTGATAGAAACGTCCTCCCATGTGCCTTGATATTCACCAAAAAATTTTCCTATCGTACAAATGATACTCATGACAGCTCTTTTAATCAAGTTAGAAACGAACCAAGTAGCAAAATGCATCAACATTGGAGAGGGTTTGCATTTAACATGGACTACCAAAAATTTGTCGAAAAATTAGCATTTAAAACTCTTTGATAAGACGGGGTGGGGTGGGGCAACTTTTTAGCTGCCCCGTCCATCTCTGGATTAGACATACAAGAATTTTTTGTTTTACAGTTTTTCCATCAGTAAATAATTCTAAACAGTTGAAATGTCATAGCCATGAACCAAAAAATAATGGAACCGACAACCGCTGATAAATTGCGACGACGATTAGAGATCGCAAAATTCTACCATTACCGATATAACTAATAACATTCAAATAACCAACATTGAAATGTTCTTCATGTGCTCTTCGAAATGCTGCTGCAAAAATAAAAGCTTCATTTCTTTTCAGTATTATCTATCGCTGCAACACTTCTAAAATAATTTAGGATAAAACGGTTGAAGATTAAACATATTACTAGCTTATATTGCGAAATTGATTCCAGCATGTCATTTTTCTTGCTCATATATATAGACACACATACATATTAGAAGATTAAATAAACCATCACAAAGATCTTGATATGTTGATGAAACTCTGATTTCTGTTTGTTATCATTGTTCATGACCGATTTTTGTCAATAGTTCATTGAATATATCGATACTATGTTTATTGTCATTCTTTATAAATTTGGATTCATTGTATTAAAGAGTTGAGTGTTAAGCAATATTTGGTGAGAAAATTTAGAGCTTTTCGGTAGAATCTTTCATACAGCCATATGTGTACTTAGATAAAAGACTGAAATACTAAAGCAAATGTGCTTGAAAATTTTATTCAAAGACATGCAAATGTTGCACAGAGCAATGCTCCATTTTACCTGTTACTTGAAATTTTCAAAGCATTCGATGAAAGATTTCAAAATAACAACGCAATGTTAAGATTCTGTCTAGAATTGTCTTTCACCGAACAATGCAAAACACTATGCCATGATTGTGCTCGAAGTCAATTGAGCTAATGGCTTATTTTAATTCTCATTTTTTCCAACATCCTGTATTATACCACTCACAAATAATTTCAGTTCTTTTCTTCTTTTCTCCAATCAATACAGCAACCTTGTTTTCGCCCCAAAGGTGTACTGTACAGACAAATCGCAATTGCGACTTTCTTTTAGCTTTTGAAATATTATAGACATTAAATTTTTACGAAACTGAATGATTTTTCGTCGAAAATAAAGTGAAGAGACAGGTACAAAAACACCTTTCTTAACAATAACAGAAGTGGAGACCTATATAAATTACTTCATTTGCAGTGAATGTTTTGTTTGGGTGAAAAACAACGAAAGCAAAGCTTGGTGATGCAAATGAACAGTATCACCGACAGAAAGATTTGGCTGTTGCTGCTCATTGTCGTTCAATTTGCAGGTATGTTTCAACACTAGAAATTTATTTCAACTTGAGGAAAATATTTTTCGTTTTTATATAACAACAGTTGTTTGTGCACCACATACACAATAAAATGTGAAAGGTTATGTAGCTGTTTTTAGTATTGAGAAAGAGTTTCTTTAAATTTTGCTACTATTTAAAGAGTTTCTATCGCAGTCTCGGTACGAACAACATGCGACAAGAAAAGATGTAACTATGTATGCCATATACTAATTACTTTGCTTGTTTCAGATCGTGTTACAGAACAACGTAGAGTTGCACAATACTGAAAAATGAATCATATACCACATAAAATTTATTTCTAACTATCCTCTATCATTTAATGATGCATTTCGCTTTTATGGTACTTTCAGGATGTATGCTAAGTTCTTGAGAGTGTGGGTGTGGATGCGGATGTGGGGGTGTGGGCTGTAGATGTGTGGGGTGAGAGTGCGGGTGTCGGTGAAGATATTGGTATCAATTTCACGCCCACAACCCATACCCGATACCGCACATCAACGGCCACACTCCGTACCCGACATTCCACATCCACACCCACATCCCATACCCGACCCCCCACATCCACACCCACACGCACACCCACACCCACACCCACCCCAATAATTTCTGTTTAATGCAATATTTTAAAGTAAAGAATTCTACTACAGTACATTATCAAGTATGAATATCAAACATTGGTGCTATATAACAGAAAAGATAATAAGAAAAATGTTGCACTTTCCTTATTTACATTTGCGAGTTTTTACATGAAGCTTGAAAGTTTATTTCCACAATGACTTGAGAAAAATGGTCAATGTATGGTCTATATTAAACATGAAAATCAGGCTGATCGCATATTAAACTATCAGAACAGAATATGGAGAGATACTTTACTGTATCTCCATTCGAGAAATATCGAATTTTGCGGATGAGCCCTGTGAACATTACTGATTTCAGTAAACATCTACACCCACACCATCCAGATGTACTATTTTATTTTTACTTTCAGTTTTAACCGATACGGCGGCAGTGTCTCATGCTACGACTGTCGATGACAGGGATGATGAGCGAAGAGAAGGAAGTCCTGAAGGTGGCGCACGATTAACGGTCTACGGATCCGGTTTTTCTGAAAATCATTTCAGTTTAGTACCATCAACAGAATCACCGAATACAATAGAATTAGTTCGAGGGAATGATGTTTATGATTGTCCGATGCAGAATGAAAAAGCCACTGATATTCAATTGACATGCTATACGCCTCGATTACCTGAAGGAGATTATCAAGTTCGAGTCTCTGTCGAAGGTAATCCGGTTCCCATAAGTCAATACAGTTCTCCGTCATCGGCAACATTCACGGCGCATCGGAATTATACACCTCAAATTACTAATATATCGCCAGCATCAGGCTTGCCACAGAGATTGGTTACATTAACTGGTGACTTTAAAACCGAATGTTACTTACGTGATAGTCGTGAATGTTCACCGAAAAATGTGTCCGTTATTTCTCGGTAGGAGATGTTTGATTTGACTATTTTTAAAATACTTTCAATAATAATTTACTTAGAATATACATCGGTGGTCAACTGTGCAATCTGATCGATGACGAACGCAGCGACTAGTAAGTTTCTATGTGTGTGATTATATTGAACTACGGTGAAATGATTAGCAGTCGACAACAGCTCTAGTTAGGAGTAATTTGCTTTTTTCTTAGTAATTAATACAACGAACTTTAATTTTCACAAAAGCAATGTCTATGTGCAGTAGTTATATGTCAATTGTGTTCAATGATTTTTCTTTCTGTTAGGTACAAAAGATTTCCTGTTTCTAGATTTCTAACCACAAAAGCTTCATAGGCTTCGTCGACTGCTCAACGATCAGTCACTATAATTATAGTTCTTTTTGAAAATGAATCGGTTCATATAAGCTATTGTTTTTTTTTTATTGAATCTGAATTTGACATCTATCTTACAATGAATGTTTGATTTATAGCTATTCAAATCTGAACAATAGCCAACTCCAATGTCGTTTCGAAAGCAACGAAGTCGGTAAGCAACTTAAGTCATATATTTATAGGCCTCCTAACTAACAACATATACGATGGATGTCTATCGATTCGTAGGTATATTCAATGTGAGTATGCTTGTTTCAAACGAATTTGGTCGTTCAGCGAGCGATGCGAGCCTCTATCGAATATCTGGTACTGGAGAAGTATACAATTTTGAAACCTATGCTAGTTTGTATTCATTCACTATCCACAATATCGACTGTCCTAGAATTAATGTTTGTTTCTTACTAGTTCTAACAAACATCTCGTCTAACACTGGAAGTACGGAAGGTGGTACAATTTTAACAATTAAAGGAAACTATTTCAGTAAAAGTAGTAATTATCCTCTGATCGTTAATGTTGGTGATGATCCATGCACCATTCGTAATGTGAATCTGACTACAATTCAATGTCAAACATCAATAAGACCAGCTAGCAATCGAAATCATTATCGTGGTAAGTAGATAGGTAAATGAAGTGCTTTATTTTATAGATATTTTTTGAGGTGGTCGTGGACTTCATGTCTATTATCAACCTGGCTACATTAATCTTGTATGTTAGACATTAATTGATTTGTTCCTAATTATTACTGTATTGATTTTCTTTGCTATTATTAAGAATGCTTTGGGCAGTGCTAGTCTTCCAATACCAAATGCCAACACCAGTCGCTCATGGACTGGAGAAGCCTCATTTTCCTCGGTATTTTCATCTGCTACTACCGTTTGGCTTATAGGATTTATACGTGCACCCATGACGGCTGCATTCAATTTTCGATTGGAAAGCAATTCTCAAGCTGCTCTTTATCTGAGTATTGATGAAGATCCTGCGAATGCAGTACGAATTGCTAGCAATACAGTCACCGATTCACAAAGAATTGTACTCCAAAATAATACTGAGTGAGTAAAAGACAAAAGAACAGTACATCGATGATCTAAAATGATTTATTTTGCGTAGCTATTACATGCTTTGTGTTGGATCCACTGGCGGTGGTAGTTTTCGTTTAGCAGTAAAATCAGCCATGCAACCATTGAATTCAAGAACAGAAACTAATCGTCCGGGTACGAGCGAAATTCAACAAGTTAACATCGGTGGCGCCGTTACCACTGAATATCAAGTAATTAAAAATTTATAAAAATTTATAATCAGACGTGTATCAAACTAACGGGAATATGCACTATTCTTTAATACGGTGTGAACATGATGATGACTATTTTTGTGAAGGTCTCTGCAAGTTTAGTTGAAATAATCTTGTGCAATTTACTCTCGGACTATCCTATACACTGATATCCTATTTATGTTTGTTTCTGAATTCACAAATGTTCACATTTTTCTAGTTAGTCTATCATTCACAGACTCACCGATGTGAAAAATTAAGAATTTGAAAAGACGGTATTTTGAATACTTACGATCTAGTCAATCAAAATTATACAATAAAAATATTTAGTTCAAGATAACTTCACAAAATTGATTATATAAAAATGCTTGTTTTGTTTTAGCGTATTGTCTATATGACTAATTCGTCTATTCCTGGGGTGGCTGAAGTTCAAGATGTAGAGGCTTATTTCAACATATTTCAAATAGGATTCAGAGGAGTCTATACAGGTAAGTTTTTGCAGGACCTCTTCGTTTTTTAAATCAAACCATTGATGCATTATTGATCTTCAGTACTACTCGATGGACCACCATTTACGCAATTTGTTCAGGATGCTCTCAATGATTTGCCAACAATCTATCCTTTAACTGTTAGTGTGGCACTTGTCGGCACCGCTTACCGAGTGACGTTTCCAGTCGAAATGGGTGATGTTCCACCACTTACTGTGATATCAACAGGATTTAGTGGTATTGTAAATGCAACAGAAATCACACGAGGTGTTTCATCGGCTTCAAAGATAGCCTTTCAACTCGATGGAGCAATAACAAACTATCTAAACTTTCGAGACGATGATATTACATCAGCTATTCTAACAAATGAATTCAAAAATTTGTTCAACATTCGATGTCCACCATCACTGTATGATCCACAAGTAGCACCAACTATTGTATATTCGGATGAATTTGAAGAGCCGAGTCCATATGATGACACATTCACGATTGAAGATATGGCCTTCTGTGGTCGTGGAGCAGTCAGAAACTCAACTGTACATATCGTTTATGGTAACACGCAAGCTGCTGATTACATGTGCTTTGCCTATAAGATTAATACGGGAAGCTCGATGACAATGATTTTTCAAGCTCAAGGCGATTATAATTCTCCAACTATCGAAAGTAGACTGATGAATTTAATAGCAGATTCGCGCTGGCATTATACATGTATCAATGTATTAGACGAACTCCAGCAGAGTAATCCTTCATATCTGGCTGTTACTACTGTAGTACTCATGCAAGTTGATCTCAATTACTTTGTTCCATCAAGTATCATGATTGATACAGTCACATTACGTAACGATTTACCTATAGGCTATGAGGATGTAACTGTGATTGCATCCATTGAGCAATCATCTACACAACCGTGCACGTTTCCGTTTTTTTACAACGGCAAAAATCATTCATCGTGTGTATTAGACAATAACAATGTGCCTATTTGTGGTTTGAACAACAATGTAAGATCGTACTGTCAAAGTTCATCTATCGAAGGTGTTCGTCGACTGTATCCTAAATATCAGCTACTGGACAATTCTTTGCAAATAACTCATAATACACCTACAAATTATACCATAAATATTTCTTTTCGATACACATCATGCATGTCACCATCGTTGATTGAAGTTTTGCCGTCCACGGTCAGTTAATCATTTTCTACATCTAGCCATTCTAAATTCATTTGTGTAGGTTGGTACAGTAATTTCAATTTCTAATGCTTCTAAAGCACTTAGTGGGTACTATTCTATCATGTTTGATGGACAAGTATATTCTCCGATTCCAGCTGCAATAGCTCCGTCAAATTTGGCCGATTTACTTCAATCATTTCCAAATTTTGGCTATGTTTCCGTCAGTCGAACTGGACAATGTCATCAATATTCTTACACGATTCAATGGTTAGTTAATGGTGAGCAACCGCTTATTTCCATCGTGAATTCATCTCAGCTAAGACCGGTCAATGCACCTATCAGTGTTTCATCAATACAACGTGGTAGCTCTTCAAATGTATTCTATGATCTTCCCACGGATGTAGTGAGAACTTACCATACGGCACCTCAAGTGAGTTTAGTTCTTATATCCAAAAATATCTATTTTCAATTAAATTTGTAGGTGGAAGTAGTTGTAGGCGGTTATCCATCTTATTGTTCCAACCCCGATAATAACTGCGAATTTCAATGGTCAATCAATCATACGCCTCAAATAACATCTGTCATTCAAAGTGGAACAGCGGTGACTATTAGCGGCACTGGATTTAGTACTCGCCCGGAATCTAACATGATATCAATTGGTGAGAATGGTCAATGTGATGTTCAAACAGCGAGTGTAACATCAATTCTTTGTAACATTATCAATGCACCATCAGGTCAACATGTTCTACGATTGAACGTTGCTGACAAAGGCCTAGCTTCGAGTAATACAACTTTCATGGTACAAGTGCCGTTATTTATCACTTCATTTGTTCCAAATGGAGGCGATTCTGGCGGAGGTTATCAGTTAACAGTGTTCGGAGGTGGCTTTTCGCCGAGTGCAGTTATCTTTCTTGGCGAAAATTTCTGTATCAATCGAACTGTAGTCAATTTTACTACAATCAAATGTGTTGTACCTCCAAGTGGTAGTGGAAGTTTGATTCAAGTGGTAGTTGCTGTATCTGATGGCTTGAATTCGGTTACTGCATCGACACAATTCACATACAATGTGACGGTTGCACCAACTATCTATTCAATTAATCCAACTTTTGTAACGATGCGTGGTGGACTATTGAACATCAATGGTACTGGATTTGGCAACCAAGATGTTTCTGTTTTCATTGGTACCGCAAATGCTCGTGTTATATCTTCTTCAAACAATTACATTGTAGTAAATTTGAATACCTTACCACCTGGACTCTATCCAGTCACGGTTCGTACTGCAGCAGGTTATGCACGACCGCTCTTTCAAGTCGAGTATCGATTCTATATACAAGAAGTATTACCACAAGTTGGCTCTGCATATGGCGGCTCTGATGTCTATGTTAATGGAGCAGGCTTCGAAGATGGGACAATTGTTCAATTACGTGATCAACAGAACAATGTCTCCCCATGTGATATTGTTTCAATTCAATCGGATCAGATTCATTGTGTACCCACAGTTCCTACTAGTCAAGTAACCATCACATCTTATGGTACCCATCCAGTATATGGCTTTGGTTATGCATGGTATCCTACTCGTGAGACAGTACAACAAGGAACAACTGTTACATGGTCATGGGATTCTTCGCAACTTAGTTCACCAGTTTCTTACAAGATACAACAGGTAGACAGCCCGTACAGTACTAGACCAGTACAAAATGGATTCGATTCTGGCCCACCCACATCTTCAGGTAGGTGAAAGTCAATAGAAAAGATATGTATTAACTGTTTGAAATCTTATAGGTTCGTTTTCCTATCAATTCGATACTATGGGTACATTCTACTATTGGGCACCGAATATCACTCAATCGACCGAATACGCAATGCGAGGTGTCATCGATGTTGTAGCTTTAATGCCGAAGACAATGACTGTAGAAGCCATCTGGAATAAGTTGACTGGTCATATACAAATATATGTTTGCATAAAGAAAATGACTTCTTTCTACTTTTTTTTGTAGCTCAAAGATGTGCATTTCCGTTCATTTTCAATTCGGTCAATTACACTGCATGCACTTCAGCGAATGATACACGATTGTGGTGTTCACCAACATCAGTCTATACAGGTCAAAGACTTTATTGTACTCCAACAAGTATGTTTGTTGTCCAATAAAGAGACATAAGAAATATGTTTCTCTATGAAAATATTGCAGCAAGTTTGATTAAGAACCATTATAATAGACAGTGTTAGAATTTTCATTTATCGATAACCACAGACTTTGAATATGAAAATCATCTATTCTTTGTTTCGCATATAATTATATAAGAGAATTTACTTTCGAATCGAGCAGTGTATACGTATGAATTATAAACAATTGTTTACTGATATCTTCCTTATTAGCTAGGAATGTGCTTATCGTGTAATGAACCATTATTTTATATTGTTATATGTTCTATTGACTTGAAATCTATTTCATATTCATAGCTTCGGTACCTACTTCATCGTGTCCTTGGAGAACACTTAATGCGAGTTCGTGTGGTGAATCTGTACCAACATCATCTAATCCAACGCAGTTTCTTTCAACAATATGTACAGTTGAATCGGTTACAGATATGTCACCTTTGGAGGGTGCCGCTGGAACTCAATTAACAATTACAGGTTTTTATTTTCATGTCCAAGTGCTTTTTTTCTAATCCTGTATTTAACAATTGTAGGCACAAATTTTGATGGCAATATGTGTGATTATGATATTCAAATAGGATCATCATATCATTGTCCCATAATAAATATGTCATCGAATACTCTTACATGTCAGATCACGGCAAATTCTACGCTTGATGCTAGAACGAATCAAACTGTTCGTGTAGCTCGGCATCGTCAAGGTTATCTCTCCAGTCGAATTCCATTGAAATTTAGATTTCTCCCATCAATCTCAAGCATTTCTCCAACGATTGGTAAAATTTTTTTAGATGAATCAAAGAATGAAAAAAAACACAATTTTCTTTATGCATGTATCTTGTTTTTAGGTTCGATTTATGGTGGTACTCGTGTAACGATTGATGGAGACGGTTTTGTGGGAGACGACACACTGGTGTACATTGCGGGCGCAAATTACGCATATCGAGGATCAGAATCCTATTCACGAATTACTTTCACTACTCCATCCGAGTTAACTTACATAGATACGGATTTAAGCTTAGCAGTTTTTGTTCGTACAAGTCAGTCGACTTGTTTTACGCCTTCATGCCATTTCTCTTGGGCAACAAGTGTAACACCGTATTTTGACTCAGTGAGCCCATCAGTTATTCGTGGTAGTACAAACTTAACAATCACCGGTCAAAATTTGCTCAGTGGTGGAAGAACAGCTGCTGATGTTCATGTGACCATCAACGACCACATTTGCAATATTACACAAATGAGGAATGACTCAATCGTGTGCGCAGTGAAAGGCGTCGAAGCTGGTCAACATCGCATTGTTGGATCAATTGATGGTTAGTGCTTGTTGGTAACCTTTATGATTGAATATTTGGATTTTTTCGTTATAGGTGTTGGTAATGCTTATTCATCATTGAATACCACATCGGAAGCCATTGTAGCGACGGTAACACCTCTGACCAGTAGTGTCTATGGTGGTGCAACTCTAGCAATTGTTGGTCACGGCTTTTCTAGCAATATTAGTGAAATTGAAGTCAACGTTGGGACAGATTCCTGTCCTATAACTTCAACGACAAGTGATAAAGTCGAATGTACCATCCCTCCTCAACGTAACAACTCGAATACAGCAAATATTAGCATTACGTCACATCGTATTTCATTTCCGTCGTCATCTGTATTGACTTACGACAGGACGATCACACCAAACATCAGTTCTGTTAGTCCAACGTTTGGTAGTAACTCACAAAATTTAGTAATTAGTGGAAATAACTTTGCTGGCTCGGCTCAAACAAATGTTACAGTTGGAAAAACTGAGTGTACCATTAGTAGTCATTCGATGGGATCAGTTGCATGTACGGTTGGTTCAAATTTGCCCGCCGGCACTCATGAGGTCACTGTCCATGTAGACGGAGTTGGAGATTCGAATTCAGACATCTCTTACACACAAGATCTCTCAATTACAAGTGTTGCACCATCGCAAGGAGGCTATGGTGGCGGTCTGCCAAGCACGATTCTTGGTAATGGATTTAATGGAACCAATATCACTGTGAGCGTATGTAATAGGGCTTGTTTATCGAAGGAAATTGTTTCTAATGGTCAACTCATTTGTGTCACGCCTGAGCTATCTTCGACGGCTGCCAGTACTGCGTGCAATTTAACAGTGTCCGTTGACGGTATCAGTAAAAATACATTGTTCACTTACAGAGCTAATTTGACTGCAACGGTAACATCGGTAAGTCCAGCTCGAGGTGGAACAGGTGGTGGAACAACTATTACTATTAATGGAACTAATTTTCCGTGAGTTATTCAAACATTAGAGCATTTCTCTATCTATAAATACTATCTATATTTAGTACTTCTATCAATTCCGTAGTAGTGACTATTGCTGGTACACCATGCTCTGTACGAACGATCTCAACAACAAGTATTACGTGTGAGACTGGAAGTCATCCATACTCGAGTGTACGAGCTCCGGTCATGGTATACATTAACGGAAGTGGCTATGCAAATACTTCAGCTCAGTTCCAATATATTGATCTTTGGTCAAGTCCATGGACATGGGGTGGTAGTGATCCACCAGAAGAGGGTACTCTTGTGGTGATTGAAAACCACGTGACTATCTTTTTGGATATTGAAACACCTACTCTTAAAGTACTCGTCATTGACAACTCCACTCTAATCTTCGATGACTCACAAGATGTTGCTTTGAATGTCGAATATATTATTATTGTTAATGGAGGCCATCTTCAAGTAGGAACAAATACCGAACCATTTCAACATCGTGCCGTTATCACCATGTACGGGCATTTACGATCGATTGAATTACCTATTTGTGAGTAGCATTGATTTTTTAATATTATCTTTTAAAATTTGTTTTTGATTAGTTGGTGCTAAGGTATTAGCTTTGCGCGAGGGTACATTGGATATGCACGGAATTCCTACTGTTCAAACTTGGGCACAATTGGGAGCAACAGCTATGAATGGTTCAACAACACTCACTCTTCTACAGCCTGTTAATTGGACCATCAATAGTCAAATAGTTATTGCAACTACGAGTGATCGTTTCAGTCAGAAAGAGAGTGAAATTCGTCGAATTACGAATATATCCTCAAATGGACTTACATTAACATTGGATCAACCATTAACATATACTCATTTGGGTACCTCACAAACATTGAATTCAACAACTATTGAAATCCGGGCCGAAGTTGGTCTTCTTTCACATAATGTTGTCTTTCAAGGTATTTATAACTCATAATTCATATGTTATATGATCAAATAACTGTCTCATTTAGGTTCAATCACTGAAACATGGAATGACACCATCGAAGCATGTCCAGCTGGTTTCAATCCAGGTATGATAAATTAGAATGAGATAAAGAATAAACATTGAATAGCTCAGTGAAATTTACTAAACACCATTTGTCGACAAAAATTGACGTAGCTGTTTCGAATATATTACCAGAAAGTAATCAGAACTAATTAGTTATTTAATAGTTTTTCTTACAAGAAGAATCTTCAGAAAACAGACATTCTCTCATTGTAATTTTCAATAACATAACTGGATGCCGATGATTATTATGTCAGGGAACTCTATTGATAATAGTGAAGATTCCATATGTTCGGAATAAAAAGGTAATCCAAGAGTTTCACTTTTTATTCAGATGAATTTGCTGTGCAAACATGCTTTCTTGGTCGATATGGACAAGAGATTGGTTCTGACCAATTCGGCGCGATGATCATGAGTAGTCGCGGAAATACTAGTACTAATGACACTCAACCAATTGTTGTTCGTCTATCCAATGTGGAGGTAGATAAGTGTTTGAGAGTCGACTTGTCATTTTTTTAACTTATACGAATAGCTCTACAATGTTGGTCAAGCATTTCGTCTCGATCGATATGCAATACATTTTCATAGCAATGGTAACATGAGCGAATCTTATGTGAAATCGTGTTCCGTTCACTTGTCATTCAATCGAGCCGTTCATATTCAGGCCAGTGATTATATTACTATTGAGAACAATGTCATCTATAATGTTATGTATGAATTTGATTCTTAGTTACGTTATTTCAAATTACATTTATTTCACATATGCATAGGGGAAGCGCAATGTTTCTATCGGATGGTATTGAAGTAGGACACGTCTTTCGAAGAAATCTTGCCGTTTTTGTTCGATCGAGTTCTAGCCTTCTCAATGAAGATCTTACACCAGCTGCATTTTGGGTAAGATAATGATTTTAGAATACTTAATTTGAGACTCATTTTAACTTAGCTAAGCAATCCCAATAATATTGTCGAATTCAATGCAGTAGCTGGTAGTACACATTACGGTTACTGGTATCGATTAAGTGATAAACCTGAAGGACTTTCCCTTTTAAAAATTTCCGATTATTGTCCCAATCGACAACCGTTCGGTCGCTTCTACAACAACATCGTACATAGTACGGGTCGCTTCGGAGTTTGGGTCTATCCTGAATATGCTCCGACTATTTCGGGTGCCTGCAATGATTCTCAACCATCACAAGCGATATTCGACGGTTTGATCGCATGGAAAAATAATAAGGGTATTGAAACAGTCATGTCTCGCACAATTCAAATAAAAAATGCATTAGTCTTTGACAATGCTGATATTGGTATCGCCTGTATTACAGCTGCAGGCCATCAAGAAACGAATCCACCCTATTTGCGTGAAACATTCTATGATACTCATATTGGTTCATCGGTGATTGACAGCATAATTATTGGTGATGTTGGCATCTCATCGACTCCAATAGTTCCATCTACTGCTGGTCTTGTTGGTGAGTGAAATATTAATCTAGCCATATGCATTGTCACATTCACATTGATTCTTTTATAAAATTCGATACTTTCGATATTCAATTATACTAATTAGATACAATTATACAAAATAAGCCTGTCTATCTATCAGAGTTTCTCTTTCACTAGATCATTACTTGTACTTTATACATTAAATTCAATGTTGAAAAGCGAGCCTATGTACCTAACATAGAAATTCGAAATGGAAAACACATTTCTAAATTTCGAAGCATTATTTCTTGCTTGCAATCCTGTTCTTAGAATTATATTTTGCACGGTGAACTTTAGAGTAATACTACATCATGACAAGATCATTCTATTAATTGTTGATTGTAATAAGTATTTTTCTTAAATGAGAAGTTTTCACAATAGACTGGACGTTGAATTTCATAGTTTCTTACTTAAATGCTTCTGACAAGCGTTAAGTTCTTGAAATGTATGGTTAAGTCTTTTTCGATCACTTGTTTCGTTCAATATATTGTTATTCAAGTAAAATGTTCTGCCATGCTGTATCTCTTTTGATTTTTAGTTATGTGGGATCGTGGTCTTAGCGTTTCAAATGTTGCTTTCATTAACTTTCCAAGTAATCAAACACGTGCGATTTTTGGACCAACCATCCTCGATCGATGTACCGATCGTTGTGGAGGTAGGAATGCAAAGAAGTATTTGATACACCAGCTTTGACTATTATCATTTATTAACATAGGCTGGCTGATAAAATTTTCGAACATATCATTCGATAATGTTTTGGTTCGTGGCAAGTTTCGATGGGAATACGATGCTGTCTATCATGATCAAGACGGTACTTTGAGTGGACAACCAGAATCAGTAATCATGGCACCTGATGGTCTAACTAATGTATCAACAAGTTGTGCAATAGCACCTTATTTCGAAAATGCTATTCAATGTCCTCTTTCACAAGGTTCATGGTTACGATTCTCATTTCGCGAATTATTAGAAAGATCACAAGGTCGACTATTCATATTTGATGCAGCAAACACGTCTAGTACTATTGTGCCATGGCTTCGAGAGCAGTTAACTTTTCCCAATGGATACTTGACAGTATTGAGAGCCAATCAAACTTACACACTTCAGTTTGAAGTACTTTCTGTACGAGTATTCTATTATATCATTTTGTACCAGTTTGTATCGTGAATTTTTTTTTAATTAGAGCGTTCGATATCTGCACTATAATGGCGTTATTTATGACGTTAGTCCAGGTGACTATGCAATCATTCAACATCCATTGAGCGTTGTTCCATATAGAGCTAATACTACAGCCAATCGAACCATGATTCTAGGCTCTATGATGCCACTATCCGGATCGACCAGTAATAATGGTGATTGGTATTATGACAATGCTGCTTCTCTATTCTCCTATATCGGTAGCTAGAACTATTTGTTAATATCTTCTGTTTTTATTCATATCATTTTTATTCAGTTAAAAATCCGCCAACAGCTAACACAAGTATTGATATAGAACTATCATTTCAAGTATATATATGTCCTTGCAATGGATGTGCATGCCCACCGCCTCCAACCACTACCACCACAACAGCAACAACAGCTACAACAACAACAGCAACAACGGCCACAACTACGAGCGCTACGACAACTACAACAACATCCGCTACAACAACAACGACTACGTCGGCTACAACAACTACAACAACATCGGCTACAACTACGACGACAACATCCGCTACAACAACTACAGCTACAACAACTACAACAACGACAGCGACAACCGCCACCACAAGTACAACAACGTCTACAATCTATCTATCTCCAATACAGCCTTGTATGGAATTACCAACAAATCCACAAGTGGTATGAGTTTACTTAGATTTTGAAAAAGTCTTCATAACCTAGAATAAGTGCCCATGATTAAATATTACAATATGTTAGTAGCTGCCGTGTACAATAACTACAAAATAAGACGTTTTTTTCTGTTGAGCTGTTGTTGGTGTTTTTATGATAATTTCCAAGCGGATGACAAGAATTCATCATTGATGATAATCGAATGGATCATTTTTGTAAATAGGATGTGTATACACATCTATTTGTGCTCAGAAATTTCTTGGTAAAAATGACTGTCAGATCAAAAGCTATTGTGAATATTTCAGTTTTGTAAAGTTTAATACATAGGGAACGGTAGGGAAACTGTGGAAGAATTCCTACGTCATAGTCCTTGAGCACCGCTTTACCAATGGGACACTTAGTAAGTGGAAACATAAGTTAGCAGATGAATTTATGGGTTCTTTTTGTACTCATATGTTTTATATTTCTTCATAAATTGAGCCTGTATTGAACAAAAGAATCTCGATTTAGTGTCAATACGTCGAAGTCAAATATTGGTCCATCGATGCTCACTGGACATTTGGTCCACAAGACTATTCAAATTGGGGTAAGTTCAGTCGATATTGGTGTTAACTATCTATCATAAAACTACATTATAGTTGGTGTTAAGCCCAGTAACGGCAATAATGTCTATGTTCCTCGTTGCATCTGGTTAATTATCGACTATCCACTTCCAACTATTCATGCCTTGAGAATAGATGGTGTAGTTGAATTTCAGCAGGTACGATTCGCTTTCTGGTACCCGAGCAGACAAGAATTTGGAAAAGCGCGTTTAAACCCTACAATCGGGAACCGCAATTGTGATCCACTCACGCTCAAAAAAATAACGCCGTTTTTTGCGTGTTTCGCGTTTTTTTTGCGCTTAATTTTCACTTTTTGGCCGTGAAAACGGTGAAAACCCCACTTTTTGAGCGTTAAAACATGCTTTTACTTCTGAAGTTTTCTGGAACTTAAAAATCAAGCGTTTTAGCGCTCAAAAAGTGAGGTTTTCACCGTTTTCACGGCCAAAAAGTGAAAATTAAGCGCAAAAAAACGCGAAACACGCAAAAAACGGCGTTATTTTTTTGAGCGTGAGTGGATCACAATCGCGGTTCCCGATTGTAGGGTTTAAACGCGTTTTTCCAAATTCTTGTCTGCTTGGGTAGAATATCTATATGTTTGATGGCAATCTGCTGTTATTTTTAGGGACGAAATCATATTATGTCAGTTGACACCATCGTTATTAATGGTGGACGATTGATTGCTGGTAAATATCATAATCTTGCGAAGATTTTAGTGATTTTTATGAGTATCTGTTAGGTTTACCTACCGCACCGTTCAATGGTAATATCGACATAATCATGACGAATAGTGGATCACCAACCATACAAATGCCTCAAAATTTTCCAGATATGACACCTAAAATGATCGGAGTTCTTGGTGGACTTGACTTACATGGTACTCCACGTGGAATTACTTGGACGTTTCTTGGTATTACAGCTACAGCGGGTCAGAATGTGATTACTCTGCGTCAACCAGTTAACTGGATTGTCGGTGATGAAATCATCATTACAACCACTGACACAAGCATCTATCATACTGAACGACACCGTATTGCTAGAATACAGAATGGAACAGTAATATATACTATAATACCCCTTGCTTATACCCATATTGTCATTCAACGTTCATTTGCTAATGGTCAAGTGGTAAACGTTGCCGCTGCCGTTGGATTGCTAACACATAATGTACGCGTTATTAATCAAAATCCAGGATCTGTTCTATCTGGATTCAAAATTTTGGTTACAGAATATCATACAAATGTCTGGCATATTCACACTAATACTTTTTACGACACTTGCTACAAAGGCTATGCTCGATTATCGAATACTCAATTTATAGGATTTGCACAGTTCGATGATAGCTACCTGAGTGATTCAAAATCAGGGATATATATGAATCGTCTTGGTGATTACAATGCGTGGCGACCAACTTTTATCGATGCTTGCTCATTTGACAGTGGCTTCAATGCAGTGTAAGTACTAGAATATGCGCAGTTATTAATTTTGAAATTGTTCTATCTGCAGTGTTGGCATGCAAAGCACCAATGGCATCCCTATCACAAACAATGTTATCTACAATACCTATAGGTCCGCTCTTGTTCTTACTGGAACTAACAATCTCGTACAAAATAATCTTGTTGCAAAAGTTTACTGGACAGGAACAGGTCAAATACCATCCGTTGCTGAATTTAATATGAATAATGATGGTGCGATTATGACTCGTGATGTTGTTAGCGTGAGATTGCTGGTATGTATAGATATTTTGAATAAATTTCGCGGTATTTATTACTAATTTTTGTTCTGCTACCAGGATAATATGGTTGCTGGTACTGAACGTTTAGCCTATCGAATTCAAGGTGAAACATGTGGAGGTCCAGATGTTTTTGTACCATTAAATATAACAAACGTATATTCGAACAATGAAGCGCATTCAGTAATGTCGGGTGTCAACATTTTGCCATCTGACAAAGGCTTTATGTATGATCGAAGTAGGTGTTTGAAATATCATTCAAATCTCATACTTTCTTCTCTTTTTTTCTATCGTAGAATGCATTCTAATCAAAGGATTCAAGTGAGTATCAACTGAAATACGAGAATAAAAATCTAATAGTGTATTTATTGTAATGCAGTTTTCTTCTATAAAGAGAGGTAGTGTAGAGAGATGCGCACAGTGTATTTGATGTTGATTTAAAAAACTACAGAGTAAAATTGAAGATTTATTTCTCTCATATAGAAATAGTTATAGATGTTAAGTCAAAAATAGAAGTATCAAGCACGACAAGCATGTACATAATTAGTTTTCAAGAGCTTCTTACCTTACTTATCGAAAAGATAATTCTTGATGGTAATCTTTTTCATAGATTTAATTTCTTGTCATCGTATAGACATACGTATTACTGTAGACCGGTTCAAATAATACCATCGATGCACTCAGAACTTACGAAAAACGGGACATTGTCGGAAGATGACAGGCAATTTTCAATATCTTTTTCAAATATTAATATGCATCACTCTGTACGCATGTTTCATAGAAGTCAAAGGTTTCTATTTAATTCTTCAATGCATAATACTAAGAAAAAAATTAGTATTGATGTAATCAACAATTTGTGATGTTTAGCAATACAGCTAAAAAGAATTAATATTTTCATTTAATTGTACCAGTAAAACTCATAAACTATTCAGCGTGCATAACATTTGGACAAGCTATTTATTTTTACTTAATTGAAGTGATTTAATTTTGATTGTTTTCTTACTTTTTATCATTGGCCATTTCATTTTTATTGAACCTGTTATGACACACACGTTTGAGTGCCATAAGAAAGATGTTATGTATATGTTATCTATATATGTTCGTCTCTTTCTTTCTTTTCACACATATATGGTTAGCTATATGTCTTTTCTTTCTCTTCTTTCTTTCTTTTCTTTGTTCTAACAATTCTTGTTCGTTTTTGTAAATTACTATTGTTACTCTTTTTTCTACTCACGTAAAAGTCAAGAAAAATGTTTTCTTGACCTTGAAATGAAAGTTATTGTGCAGTTAATAATGTGTAACTACATATAGATATATATGTTCTTGTGAAGGAAGAGTTTTTTGATTATTTTGATTGAAGAAAAAGAAATCAGATAAAGAAGCTGAGATAACATCTTAAAAATAATCATATGTACATCAACATATATATGTATATTATCGGACATAATAGAACCTCATATAAAACACATTGCGATTTCAATAACGTATATCTTAGTTACCATTTTCAAACTAAACAAAGAAATGATTACGAATGAATGATTAGTTCCATGTGTCAATAGTAATTGAAGTATATATTTTATTGTACAAACAAAAATCTCATGTACATATACATATGGTCAGCTAATCAGAAAAATTACAATGTTATGTAAAGGATAACCATGACGCGAAATAGTTCTATCTAGACTATATTAATAGAAGAGAATTTTTGAAAATTTCCATAGCAGAAAGCAAAAACATATATATACATGTATATTTTTTTCTACCTATAGTTCTTGTGTTTGATAGTATGTATATATAAAGCTGATCATTTCATTTGCTCTTCACTAAAATAGGGTATACAAAGCATGGTATTATGCATTCTACATCAATACACCTCGCAATATTACTATCTATTCGTCTTCATCAATTGATAGTTTTGTCGGCATCTTCACTTATGTGATTACACCATCAGGTAATACTGGTTTTCATTGATTTGTTTCTTCATAATATTAAGTTCTCTGTATACGATTAGCTACGACACATATACCGTTGGCTAGTTACGTCAATATTAGCAATTCAATTGTGATTGGTTCGATGACACCACAAGATTGTGAGGATAGAATAGATCCGAATTCCCCCAACATTCGACTATCACCGATGGCATTACCTAGAGTATCAGAAAACTCATCTTCAATTGGCACTGGCGGCCGATCGGGTATAGTATTTCCAACTATGTCAAGGAATAACTTCATGCCTATACGCAGTTGGACTGGAGTTGGCGTCTATCCTGCCCGTAAGTAAACATTAAGCATTTTAATTAATTCTTGAATGATTTTCTCGAATGTTCTATAGTGAGTGGTTTAATGAAGATTACGAATACTACTCTGGCATTTTTCAACGATACTTGTGATCGACATGATGTAGCAATTCAAGTCTCTCAGACGAATGATGATGGACAGTTTCCGATCACAACTAGTTCTATGTTTGTCTATAATACATCCCAAAGAAACCTTATTTTCAATGGTAAACCAAACTTAGGTGTTGTGAATCCTAGCAGATGTGGTGGTAAGTCTATTCAATGTATATGACCTAGTTTGTTAAATTGATTATGATTATAGATATGGACTGTGATGGCTTGAAAAAAAGTTTGCTCATTGATACTGATGGTTCACTTTTTGGTCAACCAGCCAGTGTCTTTTCACAATCTGAAGTTTTTTGGGGTTAGTGCTTAATGTATGTTCAAAGAGGAACAAACCTTAAAATAATTTGTATCTAGGTAGCCAAGAGCATGGCACCGGAGATTTTCGTATTCCACGAGAAGCACTTACCAATCTAACTGGCCACAGAATCAATATCAACTTGACTTATCCGTATCGAGGCATCAGTCGTACTAATTCTTGCTCTCTTGAATCATCATGGGGAATGTATCGATGTAATTCAAGCGTTGACTATCGTATGCTAATCATTGAAAGTATGGACGCAGATACAGAAAAACGACGTCTTTCGCCTGTCGCTATCATGTCCGATAGTGGTTATATTGATTTGATTAATGGACCCGCAGATCGATCTGTTTGCAATGGCTATGCTTGTCGTAAACGAATTTCAACATTCATGGCTCTTGTTCAGTCTGGACAGACCTATCAAATATTTTTCTCGAGTACTCCACCCAAACAAACACGTTTTCGTTTGCTCAATGCCGATTCATCAATAAAATGTGTATTGGCTCTTCACTACCTTTCGGTTCAACAGCTTGATGTCTACGCCAACACAAATTACATGCCACCGACCAATCGAGATCTTCGGGCTTCTGGTCTTATGTTACTTGATCGACCGAATAATGTCTCATTATCGTCGCCACCAGGAAGCAATTATTTCGATAGGTTCGAATACTTTTAAATCGTTACACCATTCATAAATTTATGAGAGATATATGATTTCTCAGGACTTAACCTAAATAAGCAAACACTCTTTTAACTTACTAGAGAAAATTTACACCGAAAACGTTCTTGAACATTCTAGAAGAAGATCGTAATATACCGAACTGAAGATTCTGAGAACACTTAAGTAAAATAAATTATGAGGGTACTATGTGTCTAAACAGAATATAGTCTTGTTTTGTAAAATAATTTCAAAGTATTGAATTTTTGTATTCTTTTGTTCACTAACAGAGCGTATCAGATGGCCTATTTTACTATTGATGGTAATACTGCGATTGATCTCAGAGTATCACCATTACTGATTCTCTCGTTCGGCTTTCCACCAATGGATCCAGCAGCATTTTTTTCCACCAATCTGGTGAATAATCTAGCTGCTCTGTTGAATATCAATCCGGACAAAATTCGACGTGTTAAAATTGTGTCAGCAGCGAATACAACGTAAGAATTTGTTTCCGCTTTATTTCTGGTTACTATGTAGTTTCTTTCTGTTAATAGCCGTATTCGTAGACAAGCTTCATCGAGTTTCTCAAGCGTTCGATTGGAAGTGGAAATGCGCGATGAACCACGTGCTAGTACTACAGCAGCAACTGGAATTCGAGGAGAAATTCTATCAAATATTGCCTCTGCAATTATCAATCGTTATCAAATGGGTGAATTGCAAATAGCATGGTTCAATCTTAATTTAACGAACAGCATGTCTCCATCAAGTTTGAGATCACAAGAACCATTCGATGACTTTGAAAGTGAATTGAGTGTCATCAGTCGACTTGTGCTAGTCACACCACCGAGTGATTGTCGCCAGCAAAGCCCATGTACAATTCAGCCCGTACTTATTGCATACGATGCACAAGGTAATGTCATTCAAAAGTTAGGTTCAAATGATCGACCATGGCAAGTGCAAGCTAGCCTTGTGTCTCGGCCAACTTTACGTTTGATGGGTGACATAGCTAATTATACTAATGGGCAAACACAATTCACTCTATTAGCTCTGCCAGATAACGGTACTGAACAAGTACAATTTGCTTTGCTTATACCGGATGGTGTTAACAGGTATTTTTCAGTTATTCTGCGTCATTCTGAACTTAACTCATTGTCTTTATTAGCTCATTTTATATGACAAAAAATCTGACGATTCAAACTACTACTGTCAATGTGTCGCAAGCAACGCTTGCTGGACGACAAGTGAGCAACATCTATGTTGTCGATGTAAATCAAACATTTAGTGTAAGTGTAACACCAATTGACAGTGTTACGCGATTAAAACTTGCAGCAATTCAATGGAGTGGATGGCAATGGTATGCCAATGTTAGTCTGTATACTTTGCCACAATTTAATCGTCAAGGGGTGCTCACAAGGAATAATTTATCAAGAACTATAGTCAACGTCGCAGCAGGTACTGTAACTGTCACCAATTTGACAATCAATGATACTGGTATGTATGTGTTGAAAATTCAACTGGTGTCTTCAAATAATGACCATAACGTTATGGTGCCATCGAATGGTATCCTTGTTAAACAAGCTAATAGTAAGAAAAGTATTTTCACTCTACAATCTTTTGTAATCATATGTTTCCTTAAGGTAACTTTGTTACTGACACGGAAGCATACTCAAGCAATATTACATTTGACGGCGACTTTGATGCTCTCAATACGAGTGATCAATTAGAATTGAAACGTACAATGATCTACAACTATTTGCTAAGCATTAATCTGCCTATTGTCAGCAATATAATCTTGTTGAAAGGTTTTTGAGAGTTAAAAGAGTTCTTATAGTTCTCAACTATTTGTTATTGTTATAGGTAGTGTTGTCGCTCTGTTAGACGTTGCATTAATCGCTACAGATATATCAAACGCAGTTTCAATGTTATTACAGTATCCTGAAGTCTTATCTGATTTAACAATAACCTCCGTGAATATAAATTCTCGTACATATGAGGTCGAAAATCCTGAAGCATCAACATCTACGAATAACAAGCAGAGTGATAATAATAATAATAATAATGCATTAATTATTCCTCTAGCAGTTTCTTTTGGTACTGTGGCGTTGCTTTCTATCGGTGCCATTGTCGCTTATCAAGTACATGCGAAAATGATCGCAAACCAGCGTATAGGATCAGATGTAGATCAACTTACAAGGCTTGATCAAAGCACACCTACGCCTAGTGCACAGACGAACGTAGAAAATTTTGACAAAATCGAATTTGGACCGATTACGAATAATTCATCAGGACCAAATCAAGTTACTGTAACTCATTTCATTAATCCTCAAGTTCCTAACACACAGACGCGGTTATCCTCTCCGATGGAATTTCTTGTATTCCGTTGATGTAAACGAACTTTTTTCATCATCATTGGTCATGACACACCTTTAGTTAGACTGTTTTCTCTTACTGTTCCCTTTTTTCAAACCGCCAACTGCATCTTTTGTTCTGTTTTTTTACAATGTAGTTTCGTCTCTATTTTCTTGCATTACGTGCTCCAAATCAATAACGAAATTTCTCAGTACGTCACTTTGCACGAAGAAAGAGAGTTTTAACCAAGATCTACGTATATCATGCACATTTTTCCTTTTCATTTTATTCTCGAATAAAGAGTATGATACGCCACTATAAAGCATAATCGCAAAATTGTTACAAAAAAAATTGTAGTTACGTTTTATACGCATATTCGAACATCATCATCAGCATTCATTTATGAGTGAATTAATGTGTTCAACAATATAATGATCAAGAACAAATACAAGAATTAGAGAGTGGATGTGAATGGGCCTCCTAAAAATTCATTGTGAACGTAAAGGTTTCGGTAGCATCTGTTTTCTTTTACTTGAACAGATACCGCTCGTGAAGCTTGTACAATTACGATTCAGTAGTCAATATTAACAATACATAGATATTGATTCCGAATCAATATCATGCCATTCAGAATATTCAGATACAAACGCTATATGATGTGAAAAGTAAGGGAAACTTAGCCACCATGATTCACTTTTATTCATATGAAAATAAGCATAGCATTGTACTCTCGATGTCTCATCCAATCTATCGATTGTGCAACTCTATCATTTTCATTTTTGTGTTTTTTTTCTTATTACTTGATTCCTTTAATCAGGAAACTATTTGTTTCATAATAAATAATTGTTTCGAGTGTGTCCTTTTCGATTCCTTCTCACATCTGTCAAAGTATAAATAATGGCAAGACATACTGCTGGATCACTTGATTAACGATGAATTGCATTATGAAACTATTAGTTTTTGTATTCATATTCGCATTCATCACTGAAGTTCATGGTAATACGAATCGTGCCATTAGCTTACAGAACAACATTAATACATTGCTGAATCAGCTGCAATCGTTATCGATAGATGCTGTTCTCTTTTGGAATCTACTAGTAACATTATACCCTTATGCAAATAATTATGATCGAATTATGGTTTCCATGTCAGAACATGGTGGTCCAGCAAAAAACAACTCATTCTTTTACTATCGTTCATTTTGCCATATACGATACAATGAGATCGTGTGAACAAAGTTATGAGCAATTTGTTCTACGAAGCTCAACATCAAAACCGAATCCTGTTCTAAAGAGAGTTGGCGCGAGTACTGCTATATTAGAAACTGAAATCAGTCTAGGTCTTACGGTCGGAGGGTGTGGGTTGTGTCTACCAGTCACCCACACCCCACTCCACACCCACATCCTCACCTATACCTACACTTACAGGCACACTTCCTTCCTACCCACACCCCGGCCATCCACAAACGCACACTCACTCACCCACACCCATCCGACACTCACACTCGACACTCACACCCGCACCCACACCCTCTTTACTATTATTAGGAGACTCTAGTTTCACATCATTGTCACTTTCACTATCAGAAATATATTGTGCTACGCTTTGTAATTGAGCCATTTGTATAAATAAATGAACCCATATTGCCCTTTTTTTATATAAAATTTACCTCACATATAGAATTTACTTTTAATTTAAATAAATTATTGCTCATCCAGCATGATTATTGCTCATTCAGTATTATTATTGCTAAATTTAATTATTGCTCATTTAAATTATTTTATTGCTCAATTGAATATAAGTCGAAAGAAACAGTTTCATATCTCATGTTATTATACAAAATATTGATGAAAATGAAACAAATGATTATCTTGTTCACACAAGATTAGGCAAAATTTCTATTCACAACACTTGCATTTGATTCATAAACAGTGACTGACAGTCTCCATAGACCACATATCACTAAGATCTCGTTATAATCTATTAAATACCTTATTGCAGCTCGAGAACATTTTGTAAACAATGATGAAGAATTGTGTCCCAACATAGATCGAATAAAGTAATACTTATGTGATTAGTGGTCATAGGTGCCAGAGATGAGCACAACACAAAACACAGAACAGTAAGAACCCTTATATTGTGACTTTCGATCATCAAACTATATAGTAATTTATCCATGATTTTTTATCACTTTCACATACAACAACTAAAGTTTTACACAAGGAAGTGTAGAAACAAGTTGAATGATTATTTGAATCGTATGCTGATAACGAGAAATAAATGTAAAAAATTATGAATCTGCAGAATTTTCTCGTTACCATCTTAATCTATAATGAGCACTATTAATAAAAGATCAACGACAAAAAAGGGATCTCTTAACAAAAATGATACCAAAAAAAGAGGAAGTATATCTCTCACAATCAAAATGAAACTTTACGAAACATTTCTTTCTCATTAGACTTAAAACTACGCATGAATTATTTTTATTAAAAAAAAAAATTCTATTTTCGTTTATATTAAGAAAACATGTCATGTAACGGTTTTTAGTTTACTAGACAGGGTATTCTCACTTGCTTATGTTCTTACTTGATCATTAATTACTTCTTGTGCTGTCGATAGCACAAAATTATTTTCGAAAGAACTTTCAATGAACTAGTGAAGTAGAACATTGAATATTTACACTTTTAACTTCAAATAGACAACAGCTAATATTTTATCACAGGGGATACTTGAGCTAAAAGATCCTTCATTATTCGAATAGGAAATAATTTATCAAAACATCAAGGTATTGTATCTTTATATTTAATGTATTATCTATAATCCAGATAAAAATCAAAGACAATTAAACAACGAACAAACAATAACTAATCTAAAGGCCAAGCTCTTTTTTCAGCGAAGCTTGTAGCGAAAAATTAAACTTCAATAGAAAACGGTGGCTAACCCTACAACTTTCTAGATTTAATTATAAATAAGTTAAAACTGACGAAAACTTAATATACTTGTATAAAATCAGTTCCTTATTCTTATGTTTTTCGATTTTTTGAAATCGTTTAGAACTTCATTTAATCTTGTCTGAATCTCAATTTTATGTTCAACATATACAAAACGAAAAATGGAATGCTTTTATAAAATTATTTCATTTCTTGCCGTTGATAGAATTAATAAAACTCTAGCAGGATTAAACGTAGAACAAGGTTTTCCATCATATCCTGTTCTCGTGTCTGACAGCTATATTGTGTTTCACAATAGTCTTTTTCGCAAAAATGCCACCCAAGAAAATCTTAAAAATGCGGCGAAGGGTCTGCTGATATCTTGAAAAATGTTGAGAAATCAATTGTTTTGCTCTATTCGAATCCACACTTGTCGAAATGGTTGATCTTTCAAGAAGAAAATAGTCATCGAATTCTTTCTGTCAATCTTTCGACTTATTTTCAAATACTTGGAACCTACCGAATTTCCGACTACGAAATCAAAGAACTTGTTAATAGTCTATATGCAATAGTATGCTCTCTTGAGTGTGGGTGAAGATATAGAAATTGTTCTACTGAGAATAACTTACACTCTATGAGTAATACATCTAGACACGAATTGTAATAAACCCATATTTGAAAGCTTCTGTGTTACACTTGTTGTTTGTATGGGTGATTCAACATGATTTTATTCTATTTATCATTTAAATTCAGGACGACGTTTAATTAGATTGCTATTTGATATGGGATGAATGTACAGGTGACCGACATTACTTGAAAATAACTATGTCTTCATAAATGATCGCTGAAAAATGAGTTCATAAAACATTCTGTGATCGACTCAAACTATGAAAAAGCCTATTCTCTCAAGAAGCAATTTTCAACTGCTGAAGTATAGATTTTAAATGGTCTAATTTCAGTTTCATATTGTTTAGAAAATGTGGAAAATATTCATACAACTTTTAAATTTCCTGCAAAGAATATCTAACTAAGACTACACCAGCCTAAAATTCTACTAAGAGCATTTGCAATATTGATGGTGAGATAGATTAATGAATCAATATAGACTGCTATACCGTATTTTTTCTTATAGTTGCGACACATCTTGCTTCATGTTTAACGTTTCGTTGAATGTGCCCAACTGACAACAAGAAATCTTTACTTATTTACATAGTCAAATAAAAATAATTCGCATGCTTCAAAAATTCCAGTATGGGTATTAAAAACACAATCGAAGATGAAAACATTTCTTCCATTTACTTTTATTCGTAGAAGGAGATTGCACACGAAAAGTAAAAATTGAGCTTACTCTCAATATTCTGTAAGCGATAGCGAGACGCAACATACCGACTGAAAGAAAACTATCGTGTAGTGTGATTTATTGTTTATTCAACAGTAATACTTAACAAAATTTCATCCTGATCGCTAAAATAAATCTAACAGAACGAACAGTGAGGTTTTTAATGACCGCATAGATCTTCAAAACTGATCTTGAAATTTCTTGGGTGTGGCTGTGGCTGTTAGTATCTCTTTCTCTTCACCTACAATCACATCAGACACCCCACACCTCACATGCACATCCACAGCCGCACCCATGCCCTCTTGTGTCTTTTAATTTTCAGTTTAACGAGATCTGTAACAAACACAATGAGCTCATGCAATTACTGGAATTATTATACAATCGTGAAAGGCAACTTTATCAATGGAGAAATATATTTTACTATGCTTTAAGCCTTTTTCAGTTTAGAAGTAAACAGATTATGCTAGATGAACTCCATATTATTTCACAAAGATGGAGTTTCTTTGTTTTTTAGCCACGAAAGTCTGTTTACTTGTGGAGAACATGCCTCCAAGCAAGTGCAATAGAAGACACAATTCATTTCAATGGGCATCATGGTCAGCTGAACAAACACGAATCAATGTTTTTTACAGAAACATGTAGAGAATAATTTTTATAAAACATCTGCAAAGGATCTACGTAGTTCAGTTGAAAATGGATATCAATCATCAGATAAAAGATTTCAAACTAAATTTGATACAATGGTTTTGATAAATATTTTAAAAGG